TTCCTATAACTTATGTAGTTACACTAACAAAGCAGTCCACGTCATCATCAGCTAAACCAACTCCCATCCTCCAATCAATAGCCTTACTTTACTATAAAAATATACAGTACCGCATGCAATTAGTTCACTATAAAAAATAAACCAAGCAATCTAGAACGCAGCCATCTTAATTTGCGGTTCAACAAAGCCAGATGGGGATTTTCATTAAAAAACTTGTTTTTAGATCCTGTACCTATCTGATGTAGTAAAGAATTTGCAGGAACAATGTTTTGCAAGGATTTGTGGGATGCAGGTTTTTTGTAATATATTGCTTATCCTGATGTCCTTTTTCGTGTACAATGGTTAACACGTGAACATTTTGTTTAAAGATAAAAGAAACTAATTATAGGAATTGTAAAAGGAATCCGCAAATGAAATGTCACCTCCGTTTTCAATATATAATATAATAATTATATGTCGTACCAAACTGGTTAGAATAGCCAACAATCAATCAGCTAGCTCTTTGATCGCAGTAATAATTTATCTGTAGCTGTCGCTGTAGCTGTTGCGGGTTCGATTCCCGCACAGAACAACTCTTTGTGTGATCCACAAATTGTTGTTCCGGGTCTGGATGCGATTTGCATGTGAGATTGTAATGTTTGTAAACTCACCCAAGACATAGGAGAAAATCCTAGGGTGGGACAATGTTTCATAAAAAAACAGTATCTGTTGGCGATGACGATTCGATTTCAGTGCGTGTGAGAGAGCACTGGTACCCATCTCTGTAAAACGTGCAGTCCCTTACTCGGTTCTAACGAAAGAAGAGTAGTAGTTATTGAGTAGTGGTGGACACTGGTAAGAGTCGTTTTTAATGGGCTAGGTCGGTGAACGAGGAGTCTGATCTAACGGTAAGTAATCAAGGTTTTACAAATGGATATCCAGCATATTCGTGTCAAAGCATGGCTCTTCCACATTTCTCCCACACAGCGGTAGCGACTTTAGAAACACTGAAGAAATTGGATAAAATCATTTTATGAATAACAAAAACAAACATTAAATATCTCATATGCGAAGGATGGTGCATGTCTGCATGCATTCACTAGACAACAAGAAACCACGTCTGGACGAAAAAACAAATGATGTGCCTATTAATCAGTCTCAGAGCACTTGATTTACTGCACAACCGGAGCCAGATGTGCATTTAAATTAAAAGACATGTTATTTTTATATATTTGCGTGAATCTAGAAGAATGTGTCGCGGTAATGCTGTTCACAGAATGTGCTCGCTCTTGAGTCAATGCACTTTTATTTAGTCGTAGGGCGGCCATGATTCCGTCTTACAAAAGTCGAGAAAACTATTCCAATTGATGACCCTATTTAATAAGATATTTGATTGATATCCAGAAGGATTAAATGCTCTTTTCTTCTGAAAATCAGTTTCTGTTAAAATACCCGCTAAACTTGGAACGTCAACAAGATATGTTTAGCTATCATCAAAATTTGTTTGTTACAAAATATGTCATCGTAATTTATACCAAACATAGCGAGGTCTGTAATCAATTTGACGACTTCAAAAAGAAATTCTGAAAATCGATACGAAAAACGACACAGAAATTCTATCGAGTCATCGAGATTTAATAAAAATTCTTACTTTTACGCAATATGTTTAATTAGAACCTAATTTTAAGGCCAGACTTTGTTTCTTAGAAATCTGTTTTTAGATAGTTACTTCAAATTAATTACAGTTGGAAATTCTATACGAAGCAAACGGCTGTAAACGAATTTAGTAGTTAATATATTGTCGTACGATACTAGCACCAAGTATTTCGATTACTGAACCTAATCGAAATAGTTGAAGCTAGCGAACGAACTTCGACAGTTACCTAAACACCCTTTAAAATTCCTAACATAAGTAACTTCTTCATACGAATTAAAATTAAAATTTTAGACGTAATATCGCGTCTAGACGCCATTTTTTTGGTGTGTTGATCAAATATCGTCCTTTTTTAGAATCTTTGATAGAAACGAAAATTAAATTCAACACAATAATATATTTAAAGCATACCTATTATTAAACGTGAACTCATTCATTACATCTAGGCAGAACCAAAAAAACAAAAAAATATATCAGCCATTTTTTAAATTCGGATTTTCAGATTTTTGGTATGTACACTGATTTAAAGCCATATTCCTTGTAGTCAAGACCTAAAATGATTAATCAAACTTCGGTTTCCATTCAGTAAGGGTTTCTAAAAGCCGGCTATCCATCAAGTAAATCTTGGTCACCGTATTTTGTTGAAAAATGTTAGGGAACGCTCGTGGCGCGTCGCCATTGTTTTCTAACACTAATTTACTGCCGACATATTTTTCTGCTTACTCTGAAGAATAGTTGGCCTTTTCTTTACACCTACATTTTTGGTATTAAAGGTGTTATGTGGAGTAGCATTACAGGTTATAACGATGGCCAACCTTATATTTTGTGGTGAGACATATAATTTTGAACGATAAATACTATAGGTACCTACACTAAAATCGGTCTAATTTTTGCTTTAATCGGTCTACAGGATTTGTTCTATATGATTTTTTTTTAAGAAATATTGCGGCTAGCTAAAATTTTTGGATGAACTGATTAGGTAGCCAACGTCGCTCATGGAAACGTGTCACGGGAATTGGGAACTTAGATAAGGTTTGGGCAAACACAACGCGAGTGTAGGTTTCGTCCGATTTTCTGAGGCAGTAGTGGTACTAATGTGACTTGGGCCTTTTGAGGGATAGAGGTTTGAGGAATGGGAGAATTAGAGATACGGGTGAGGTTTTGGCAAACACAATCCCAGTGTTGTTTCGCCCGATTTTCTGTGAGGCCGGGGTATTACTCCGGTCGAGCTGGCCCATTTAGGTTGAAACATGTCTCACCTATATATACTTAAAGGCTAGTTTACTCTTAGGACATTAATAAGGTGTTAAATAGATATACAGACCCCTAGCCTTGCCTCGCTTCCGCCTTCTATCTGATACATAAATGTTACAATAAAATCAACACAACATTGCGCGATTGTGTGCATTTCCGAGATTATTTTCAAACGAAAATAGTTTCTTAGATGTAATTTTAGTATGACTGTAAATCAACCTCCATTATCTGTATCATGTACTTATTTAGTGAACATTATGTTTTCAATGTAATCATTTCTGATGCAATGACGTTTTTAGTACCTATTAATTTATTTTAGATAATGAAGGAATGATGAAAATGATGAACAACCCAGTGCCATGCTTCGGCACGAATGGGTCGGCTCGACCGGAGTGATGCCACGGCCTCACAGAACACCGGCGTGTATCAATACTTACGTTGTTTTTCGTCGTGTGAGTGAGGTTACCAGTGGCCCAGTCCTCTCCCCACCCCCTCTCAATTCTCTAGTCTCAAATACCCTATCCGTAAATACTAACCTAACAACCCACAAAAAATCGGCAACGCACTCGTAGTAACCAAGTTCATTATAATAAATATTTGATTTGCTGTGAAACGCAGAAAAAAACCCACACTCAAAATAAACATCGAATGGAACCTCTACATTCAGTTAACATTATCCTACAGAATATCCCAAAATGTCTCTGTGTCCAAAATGCTTAATAACAGTCAGAACCACTACCATTATTTTAACCTTCCACTCAAACCAACATGAAAAAATATACCAACCAATTTCAACCTAGCATTTCAGTACCAATGAACTTAAGAAGATTCTATTAACTCTTAGTGACGTTAAGAAAATACTACCTTTACGTGGATTGCTTGTATTGCAAATAAAACAGTCTAGCCGGTTAATATGTGGTCGACGAAATTATGTACTTCTTATAAGGTTACGACCCGCTTGCCATACTGGCGGTAGTAAAACGAAAGAAAGTGTATAAACACAGAAATAATACGTGTTCATCTTGGAATACGAGAAAAACGCCAGTAAATTGCACGTTCTTTTTTCAAATAATAATTTTAATGTTAGGTTATTTCTTTGGCACAAATGAAACGTTATCTTGTTGCTTTATTAATTCAAATTGCTATTAAATATGTTTAGGTGTCAATCCTTAGCATTATTTGCTGTTTACCGCTATACATTTGTATGTATATGTCTACATTTGTATATATATAGGTATTATGTAGTGTGTTTTATTTAATGTACAAGTGTCAATAATGCACCGCGTCCCTTGCCTGGATCCAGAGAAGAAACCGGGTGGTTTTTAGTCAGTAAGAGTCTGATACTTCCTCTCATCCAAGAAGTCTTGATGAGTTTCCCCTAATATCTTGATTATTTAGGGTTTTATAGATTTTAGATTTTTTTAAGGTTTTAGATTTAATCCTATTGATTTGGGGTTGGCATATCAAAGATAAAAACCCATTAATAAAAAAAATAGATTAAAAAAAAATCTATTGATTGATCGTGCTTTTCATTCCATCAAGGGAGGCAAACGCATTTATGTTCCCATTAAAAATGTGTACTGTATTTTTATTTGTGCCATCTTTTTGTATATTAATTGAATTATACCATCGTTTCTGCGCTTCAATTGAAACCAAATAAAGCAAGAAAATGTTGTTTATTATTTCCTGGATACTCAATGGTAATTTCTGCTTGGAGCCCTTTATAAGATAACTCACTTACAGAAGAGCAACTCGCTATTAATTCACTTCCTTTTAGAACTCGAGGAAAATTAAATGAAAACGATTTCATTTGAAATTACGTAACAAATAATTAGATGAATTAGGTGCAAGAATATGAGTAGAAGTGTTGAAACTAAATTATAATGAAATAAGGTTTACTAGGTAGTAGTAAGATGTCAAATAAAACTGTATATGTTATGTGGTTACAAACCACCTTGCCAATTAAAATTTATTAGGTAATCAAATCACAGGGTCAAATATACAGAGCCAGGTTCGTCGAAGTATACACAATCGCTTACATCTAGGAGGAGCAGTCTCTTTAATAAGGACATCGTGGCGACAAGAAGATCTAATTTACAATTAACATAAAAATGTGTCGTCCAACGATGTTTAGTGAAGGTTAAAATCAAAACTATGAGTAATGCACCGTTCAATGTATACAACGTCCACACAAAATGTACAGGCGCTTTATACAATAACGGAACATTGCAATAGTTGTGATTAAGATAACAGCTTTGTACAAGTGAAAATGTGGAATTACAAATACAATAATGGCAGAATCATTTGTCCAATGAGCAGCGTGGGGTCGTCGTGATGTTGTCCAATAGAACGCTGTCTAGGCAGCAGGCTTCTCGTCTGAGACGACGGTGGCGCCCGTCGCCACGGAGCCGCCCTCATCAGGTGACACTGTGCACGCAAGTGCGGGGAACTTCTGGTACAGAACAGCACGATACTTAGGGTGGCTGATACCATATACAATAGGATTATACACGGCATTAGCCTTGGCGAACAATGATCCCCAGATAGTGGCCAGTGGACTGATGGGTGCACTCTCAAATACTCCGGTATAGTTGATCACCAAGTAGGGGGTCCACGCCATGAACCACAGAGAGATGGTCATCAGAGCTACTTTAGCCAATTTGCACTCAGCGCTGGTATTAGCCGCTTCAGATGATCTGAGAGAAGCCACGTTCATTTTCTTAGCTTGGTCCCTCATAGCTTTTTCGTGAGCAGATACAGCCTGAACAATGAAGTAGTAAGAGTAGATGATAAGCAGAAGAGGCAAGAAGTACACGAAGACAGAGTAAACAATGATGTAGCTTCTGCTCAAGAAGTCCTTAGTCAAGTAGTCAGTTCCGCAAGCAGTCATGTTTCCTTCAGGCACGTAACGGTTCCAGCCGAAGAATGGAGCAAGAGTCCACGCAAGTGCGAATAGCCAGATTCCGAGAATACGTTGTAAGGCCCCAGACTTGGTCATAGGCTTTGCGGCGATGCCCTTCACGATAACGTTGTAGCGGTCGAAAGCGATCATGGTCATGGTCCAGATAGATGCGCATCCAAATAACGAACCAGCGCAACCATAGAGTTCACATGCAAACGGACCAAATACCCATGTTTCGTAGTAGCAATTAATTACCATAGCCGGGGCCATCGAGCACATCATCAGGAAATCGGAGAAAGCCAGGTTGACTACAAGTAAGTTTGATGGCGTCTTCAAGCTTTTTGTCGTTGAGAATATGTAGATAACCATGCCGTTGCCAGCGATTGAGATGAATCCCAAAACGCCAATTGTGAATCCCAGGATAGCGTGCCAGAGAGGGTTCATTGGTGGAAACTGGTACCAGTGAGCGTCGACCATGTGGAGCATGTCGGCGGATACTTTGTCCACGACGGTCTGATTGGCTGCTCCATGCGCCACGTTTTGAGCTCCCCATCCTTGCAGGGCTGCCATTCCTGGACCGTGATCTGCCATTGCCATTTTTGTTGGTGTTGGTTTTTGAGTTGAGAAGGTTTCTCGGCCGGAGATGGTTATTACAAGGTACTGGAGAAAATCGTTAGACGAACTACTCCAGACTGTAAGGTAACCAAACCCGTAGTGGGATCCTGCCGAGGCTGTGGAGACTACTCGATGTTTGCCGTTCCTCCAACGTCTTATATAGTCAAACCTTAAGGATTAAACATGACGTCGCCAAGGAAATCGATATTCATAATTAGATATACGAATCTAAGAAGGTAAACTCAAGACTTAGTTAAATTAGTGTAGCAGGGATAGGCTCGTGCTGTCCACAAGGTTCCGTAGAAATTTTATCAAAATGTTGGGTAAAGAGATAATTAGTTCTGTATTTCTTTTTTTAAAACGTTGCCTGACTATGGGTTGTCATATAGTAAGTAATGAAGCCTGGGACAATTAAAAATGTCGTGTCTTGTCATATATATTTTTTTCAAAGGAATCATATTTAATATTTAGATTCTTTTTTGTTTCAAAACACCTCGTTGCATCTTCCAGAGATAAGGAAAATAAATAAAACATCTTATAGAATATTTAATTTATTTATTTGAGGAACAATGTATCTAAAAATCGAGCCTTTGGCATTTTAAAACACATGTAAACACTTTTTTAAAAAAATTGGTAGTGGGCTATCTTTGTCGAAATTACCTTATTATAGAAAATCAAAAAAACTAAATTAAAAAATGAATAAGAAATGTTTACAAGCATAACATTGTTTGGTTACCTATACATAAAATAAACTTTAAACAATTTGAGCACCTCACATAATATTATATAGATGCTTCGGTAACAAAACAGTAAGTACATATAAACAAATGATCTGTAATAACATTAAAAAGAAACTCTTTTTATAAAAGTAAAACGCTTTTGTTTTAATATTTTTCGGTGCTGGTTTTGCTTTTTTTTATATAGCATGTCTTGACAATCCGGGACAATAAGCGCTAATTACTGGACCCACACGTGACAAGAGGTAAAATTCCAGGGCAATCTCGGATTTGCCGGCGGTCTGGCAAACCTAGCCCCGCACAAGTAGTTTCTCCTGTGTCGTGGATACGTTTACAAACATACAATTTTACACACACAGTAAGTATCTCAATCTCACCCAGACCCGGAACAACAATTTGTGGATTACACAAAGAGTACAGTAACACGACATCCAGTTGCCAACCGTGCAGTCAATCATTTGGTGATTGATTAAATAAACCTATTCTAATGAGTGATTTATTTTGTTTGTATGTAGGGGGTAATCTTTGGAACCACTGGTCGGGTTTCCAAAATTCTTTCACTGACAGATAGCTACAATATTCCTGAAACATCAAGCTACGATTTAATGGAACCGAGCAGCCGGTAAAAACGCACGAGAGTAGCTAGTAGCATAATAACTATCAAATGATTTACATGCCACTTTCGTAGAGGTCACACTAACAAGAGCTATATAGGTTTTTTTGAGGGGGGAGAGGCATATCAAGTCACTTCTCTTGCCCTAGGCGAAAGAAGGTGTCAGACTGTTACTGACTATATAAAAAACATCCCTTTACCTTCTCCTGCTCCAGGTCGATACCGCATTACATAATTGCGCTTAAAGTGAAAACGTTTTTTGTGAGGGGAAAATGTCAGAGTCGTACTGACTAAAAACCTCCCGCGCCTAGGCCGTGGGCTCCTTAACCTAAGACTCCTCCTCCCTTAAACTCCTTCTTTAAACTTTATCAATAATAGGTATGTTAATATTTATCAATTATTGACATGGACATCAGGTCGAATAATACATATGTCTACTTGCTCAGTGTCTGCTAAACAGGCCATCAGTTTTGTCTGCCGGTATAGCTAGTACCTATTCTATTAGAACTGTCCCTCAATCGCCGCATCATGGATGCACATCGCTTGCGTATAATGGCATAGAATCATACTCTGACTTCCGCAAACATTCCAGACGCGCTACACCAGGCAAGCAGGCTAGGCAGTCCCAACAGCATCCTCAGCGCATTCAGTGCCGGCGTAAGGGCCGCTGATACCCTGGGCCAAAATATTGTAGCGCCCGCTTGAGGTGAGCAATATCATACGTTAGTTTTTTGCTGATCCCAAATAAAAAAAAAACTCAATAAAAATATGCAAATGCACAGACCGTAGAGCACAGTTCTAAAGGTTTGCACCAGGAGAGACAAGAGACTCCAACTTCAGGCCAATTTGTCATCAAGCCCCCCACCCCTATTTTTGATAAATTACTTAATCAAAAATAGTCCGAACATAATCATTCAAAATTCGAAATTGGATTCTAGCACTAATTCAACTTTTCTTCTGAACTGTACCATCTGTAAACACGTGAAACGGAACGGAGCTAACAAAAATGACAGATGATGCAATAACAAACGTCAGTTCATTTTGACAAGTAGCGTGAGCCTGTGTCACGCAGTAGTATTACAGTTTGTAACACTTTCACTAAACAATCTTGTATTAAATTCGCCTTAAAATCAATGGTGTTTTTATAAATCGCCAAACTCAGTTACCTTCGGACTTTCTGGCAGTAATCAACGACGTCTAACATCGGCTCTGACCTCAAATTAGGTTAGTATCGACGATGTGTTAAACAAGTACTTTTTGTAGATCTTGTTATGGTTTTGGGCTATATCCGCGGATTTTTACGTAAAATGAGCTCATCCTCTTCCGTGCCCTTGGCACCCGTCGGCGTGCGCGGTATGAAAGTGCTAGATCGAGATAAATTCTTGCGCAACGTTAAAGTGCCAGTTCTAAAGGTCAAAGAAGAAAATTTGTCTAAAATCATACGAATCTGTAAACCATATTTCCTTAAATTAGAAGGCTTCAAAACCTCAACAACTATAGACGACGAGGAATTCAAGAAATGCATATTTTTGAACCCTGAGAAAGTGAATGATTGGACTGACATCTCTGAAAGTGATAGAACAGCTTTATGTGAACTGAATATTAAAGAAGATAACTTTGGCAACAAAGAGATACAACTTACTTATGATAACTGGCGTTTTGAAACAATATTCAAAGCAGTTCTTCCTGAGAATGAGGAAGGTGTGAGTGGTTTCTCACAAATTGGTCATATCATACATTTGAACTTGAAGGAACACCTGCTTGAGTACCGGCCTCTGATTGGTCAGGTGCTGGTCGACAAAATAAAGACATGCAAGACTGTTGTAAACAAATGCAATGCTATTGATAACACCTATAGAAACTTTAGTATGGAATTAATTGGAGGTGAGGAAGATTACTTTGTAACAGTTAAAGAAAACAATTGCACATTTCAGTTTGACTTCTCTAAAGTGTACTGGAATCCTCGCTTAGGTAAAGAACATGAGAGAATCCTCAGCTACCTGAAACCTGGAGATGTTCTATTTGATGTATTCTGTGGAGTTGGCCCCTTTGCTATTCCTGCCGCCAAAAGAAAAACAAAAGTATTTGCTAATGATCTAAACCCTGATTCTTTTAAGTGGTTGAATCACAGTGCGAAAAACAACAAAATAAATTCAGTATATTTCAAGACTTTCAATAAAGATGGGAAAGATTTTATATTGGATGAGTTTAAAGACTACATCATAGACTTATGCAATGGTAAAGAAGAACTGAGTGGAAAGATTCACATTACTATGAATCTACCTGCAATGGCCGTAGAGTTCCTTAAACATTTCAATGGCTTGATAAAAGATGAGAAACTATCCGAGAAGTTTAATCAGGAAATAATAGTTTATGTGTACTGCTTCGCTTTAGGTAAAGACCATGTGGAAATTGCAAAAAAAATGGTGATTGAAAACATTGGATGTGATGTTTTTTCTAGTATAACAGATGTGTTTAATGTTAGAAATGTTGCTCCGAACAAGGAAATGATGAGAGTGACTTTCAAATTAACCAAAGAGGTTTTGTTCAGTGACAGTTTAAGTGAACCTCCTTCGAAAAAGGTGTGTGTGTAAAGAGTTTTATTTTGTTACTTTTGTTATCACTTTAAGTGCCTGGAAAATTATGTAATAAAGTATTGGACAAATCACTTTCTTTTTTATTATCTTGTTATTTTTATTATAAAAGATAAGATTGCCTTGTTGGTCGAATTTCAAGTGCAATTGCAAAGCAATGTAAGGCTTCAATTATCAAATGATGCATAGCACTATTGTATAAGTTTTTCTCCGTGATTTAAAATCATCAGAGCTAGGTTTTTGCCCATTATATGAGACATAAAAATTACATTTAATATGTTCCTCTGGTTGGCTCATAGAAAAATAGACATCATCATCAAAATTAGTCAGAAACATTACTACAGCACATTTTTTAAAAGTACTGTGTCATCCTTGTTTTGTAGTCAAATGAAGTTCTGTATAATCACTCCTGTTATCTATTAAGTTATAGATAATAAATTTGTAATCACTACAATCCTCAATACACAAGTAATATAGTGTGACTTTACAATTACTCTGACAAGTACAGTATACAAACTCATTAGAAGTTTTTGTTTCTGTCTGTCACTTGATTCTTTTTTTAAAAGTTGTGTCTTACTTTTGTGCCGTCGTGGGTGTGTTTAGATAAACAATTTCACAGACACATACCACACCTAGCCTAGGACAAAAATATGTAGATTACATGTAGACTCGTTCCGTGCCGAAATCGAACCCACAGCCTGTTGTGCGTGTTACCTGTAGCTGCAATCGCGACTAAGAGGTTTGATATATATTTTTTTTTTAATTTTAAATTCTTCGGGTTTGAGATAAACAGACCTCCTACATTACCACCAGAATGTGACGATTCGTTATCAGCCTACTCTTCAACTAATAAGTTTAAGTTTACGAAAGACATATACAATACATTAGCTGTTGTCCTAATCAGTATGGCGACGAAAGTAATGTCACAACTCACAACCCATACCTAGTCCTTTTGACTTCGTCACCGTAATTATTTTTTATTGTAAATTTAATTCAAGGTTTTATAATTTTATTTTTAGGTAAGGGTATTTAATTTTTATTAACGTTGACTAATAATCATTAGATTAGGTTATTGTGTAACTTCGTTTGTTTAACAGCAAAACTAACATCATTACATTTTTCTAACGTGAAAAATGTTGATACGGTACACAATATGCAACAAAACAAAAATTCTCCTTTTTGAGGAGTAAATGATTTACCCACCCTGGATATAAAGGGAATGTCGAAATCTTACTGACTAAAACCACCTCGTTGCGTCTCCTGCTTCGGAATGTTGCTACGGTACGTCGTCATACACGCGCTTGCATCAGTAGCCTAATGGCAAGCCAAGATCCTTTGACTTTCAGTGCTTCTACAGCCATTTTTGTCATGATGTACCCTAAACTTACGATATGGCTATTTGTTGTGTACAATATGGCTGTTAAATCCAAATTACGACAGGCCCTTTATTTTTTTCTGAATACAAAAGACAATGTATGTAAATTACCTAACTTGCACGGGCCGGGTCGGGTTAAGAAATCATTTGATAAGTTTCCGCTCTCAAAAAGAAAAAGCTATTACGAAAATAAAAATGGGAACCTATTTTAGTTTCATTCCACTACGATATACAATGACAGGAAGGTCTTTAGACCTTACGTAATAAATAATTTGCGTTATAAAATTAAGTGGCAATTAGTATCCTGTTTCCAATAAATTTTCAGCAAAAGTTTATTAGTTAGTTAAGTATTACCAGTAGTGCTATCAACTGTTCAAACATACCTACCTACTAATTTGTTGATTGCTGAATATATTTCCTTCGGAACCAGCCACTCAAGCAGCGACCCGTGGCAAGTGTAGAAAATTAATTCGTTAATTAATCTTAAACTGCCAAAGTAACTTTATACCGCGGTGGCACTTGCCATTTAACTCACTTCTATTAATTATGACTTTTTTAATACTATTTGAATACACACCAAACCCAACTCGTTTCCTCAACCTCTGAACATAAATCTAGGACACTCCACTGGTTTTAGCATACAAACTGATGAAATTTGCTAAAGTATTCTTAATTCAGTTGTCCTGTAATGTTACTGTTAGGACCCAGAGTAATAGAAAACCGGTTTAAAGTTGAATCAATTGCTTACGTTAAGTTTTCAACATGTGTCTGAGTTTCCTCTGTCCTTCAAAATCCTGAGTGACAACCCACCAAAAGGCGGCCACGAACTAACTCCTCTGGTACCATTTGCGGCATACCACAAAAAAGTTCTTAAATGTTCTTAAATGCTAATCTTGGAAGTACAACTAGTAAAAGACTAAAAGGACCAAAATGCTCGTATGCCTCAGTGGCGCCAACTATGTAGTGTGCATAACATTTTATTGTTTAATAACACGTTTAGACGCACGTGGAGTGATGAGATTAATGATACCAATGAGATAGATAACATTTCCATTTATAAGAAAGCGGAGCCGCGGACGACCGCTAGTTATAAGATAACTCTCAATATCTTGAATGAGCCACTTGCATATCCCAATACATTGTATACGCACGCGAACATATTATCTGAGGTCAAATGATAAGTATTACTCCTCATGACATAACATTCCAAATAAAATTAAACACTAAATATTCATCGCCATCAGTATTGTCCTAAAGTTTCGTAGAGAAGTGTCTTTTAAACCACGGAATACAAAAAAAACTTGCATCTCCGTTTTTACTAATGCCCGGTTCCTATATTTAACGAATCGTCGTTGTATACGCATTACGACCAAATGACATTACGAATAGTTATCTTGACCGTCTACTGACGGTTAAAATATTTATAGGAACACCACAGACACCATAGATCTCCATACAATTCGCTTACCGACATCCGTTAGTTGCAAACCGTCAGTAAGTTGCACGACGAGACGTTTGTTATAGGAACGGTTTTAGCTTACGAGTCGTATATAAAACTACTATTCGTAACTAAAACGGATCGTTTCTCAATTATAGGAACCGGGCATAAGTATACCGTTCTTCAACCGCCAAAAAACATAAAAAGTGAATAATGTCAAAAAAGTCCACAGACTATCAAAAAGGTTAAACAAATTACCGAAAAAAAAACTGATTTCACATCAATAAAATTCTTAAAATGTGTATTATAAGTTTATCACAATGGATGGCCTTGGGAGGCGCGTAACAGACTGACATAAGAACAATACGAGGAATAAACATCGCGTATATAAGGCATAATTGACTGGCAGTAAAGAATCGTTTCCATTTTCAGTACACAACGTGCGATGCTCCCGATCGGAGTCTCTAATATGGACCTAATAGACATAGCGGGGGTCTTACGTGAATCGGAACAGGTATGAATAATTTAATTATATTTATTTTATATTTCTTAAGATCGAAGTTTAAATAACATTAATTTTTTTGTTTTGTTTTTTTTTTTTTGAACGGTGAACGTCAGCAAAATGTTTAAGTGGACATAAAGTATGTGTTTTGATGTGAAACTTGTTAGAGGTTGCAACAATTTATACAAGTGATTTTTCCATTTTTGCTAAATAAGGCTGAATTAGCAAGGCAGTTTTACTTTTACATAAAAAAAATTAAATAAACTATAACATACATTTTCTAGTTTAGGTCAAAAAATAAATGATTCATCGAAAGGTTATTTTTAACGTTTGTACTTCTAATCTATTGAAATTTTAATCTTTTTTGTTCACCAGGTACTAAGACAGTGTTTCACAAAATACCAAATAGACGAAGTGTTTCTCTCTTTCAACGGCGGAAAAGACTGCACAGTGCTCTTAGATATAACTTTAAACGTTTTACGTGATATTTACAAAAGGGACGACATTGCCAGTGAATTAAAAGTTGTGTATATTCGGACTAATGGACCGTTCAGGGAAATCGAGACCTTCGTGGATCAGATTAAAGAACATTATGGTGTGACACTGTTGGTGACGGAAGGTGAAATGAAGAATACGCTGCAAAGGCTGTTGGATCAGGACGAGAAACTAAAGGCCGTCCTCATGGGGACGCGGCGAACAGACCCTTACAGCGAGAATTTAGAGTTTATGCAGGTAATGTTATGATACAATTTATATTTCTCCCATAAGTATACTAAGTTGTAAGTAGCATACATTAATTGTATCACCACGCCTTCTTTTCTCCGAGCTGCGGTACCTGGTGCAAGCTGGAGAGGTAATAGGGTGGTTTTAGGCAGTAAGAGTCTGACTCTCTACAGCACTCTACAACAATCTCAGAAGTCATTAGATAATTTTCCTCCCTCAAAAAGTCTCTTTTCTCGCTGCTATGGTATAATCGGCTCTGATCACCTGGTGGTAAAACAACAACACAACGCAATCGGTGCCGCCGATGGACACCCGCAATATAAGAGGGTTTGGGTCAAGAATCTGTGAATTAGTGAACTGGGAACAAGGGAAGGGAATGAAAATGTCTGGGCCTGAGTTTTTTGTGAGGTGGAATCACTCCGTTGATGCCTGTCTCCCATACTGAAAAGAAATAAAGAACGGGCCAAAAATAGAAGTTCGACTCTGTTAAAACTGAACTTCAGCTTTCTTATACTAGCCGGCTAAGTGTGGAGATTTCTGTAGAAACCCTCTTATGTAGAGGAGATCCAACAACGGCAGTGGAACATCAGGGGCAGTTGATATTGTCAAATTTTTAAATTATCGTTTCGGTCTACTTTAGTCATAACACTTTTGAGAAAACTATGTTATACTCACAGACACATTGAGTATATTCAGTAACATTGACTCATGACAACAAATTCTGCACATTTTACATTATACATTATTGCAACAATTCCCATCAATGTAGACATGATAATCGATGAGGCTTCACTTTCAGATTATTTTTTTCCGATAAGCATGGACATGACGATATTGGATAGATTTCTTTATAGCTCCTATCTTCCCAATATTGATTAATAAAATCAACAAATAACACGGAGTTCCTCTCTATACAAATCTACTCTTTTGGAAGGAGCAAATAGCGCCAGCTAGCACTAAAAGACTGACTGACTGACTAACGCTTTTTATCTTAAAATTATTGTCTGATGCTCAAAGACTTTGACTTTTGACTCTTGATTCTGATCGCGTGCACTCAAATGCACCGCTCAAGAGGCTTTAGATTTGATTCCTGGGTCCATAAAATAATCGACTCCGAAACTTTTATTGAAAAGTTAAATTACTTAAGACTGGTTAAAGATACTAAGAAGATTATCGACTCTATCTCTTTTCAACGTTTTTGCGTTACTAAAGAGAGTTTCTGAACAGCGAATCCTTTTTTAAAGCTTCTATCATAGGTTCCCATGAGTCTCTTCCGTTACCATGCTTGAGAGCATCTTCCATTTGGTCCTACCATATATTATATTAGAGAACGCCACTAGCAACTTGATAGAAAACCACGTACCACAGACTTCCTTCACGAACGCGTCAATTAGCAATGCAATCAATAACTGATTAAACATCCGATATTCCATTAACTAAACTAAACTGACTTGAAAGCTGCAGCATTATCAGTATTACTCAACACATTCCAACGGCTCTTGTCCACAGAAAACAGATTCCCACTGGCCTCAGATAGTGCGCGTGTCTCCCTTACTGAACTGGAGTTATCACCACATCTGGAGCTATACACTTCAGAGACGAGTGCCTTATTGCAGCTTATACGATAGAGGGTAAGTTTGAATGATTACTGGCGAGAAAATATTGACAATCCATGTTAAAATGATGGACATTTAAAAATGGCAATCTACTTATGTCATCCTACTATTTCTTGGCTCTTATTGGACATGAGCCAAAAATCTGCCTGCGAATCTGCAACAAAAAAGTTGCGCAACGCAGTGTATGGGCCCATTATATCATGTAATAGCTTACGCAAAAGACTAAAATTTATAAACACCTTAGTGGTCGTTAAATTCAAGCATGTTTGTAGTGAAAAATGCATATTTGTTTTTTTAAGCAAGCTATATAACCTATACCGTATATCGAAACCATAAGACATGTCTCAGCTCCGTAGTGACTCCAAGATCACACTACAAAATACCTTCTCCAAATTCCAGATACACATCAATCGGCAGCATACACAACACATGGCCAAACCCCGCACTAGCGACAAAAGACAACTGTGGCTGTATAACGTACTTACCGGCGTGGCACCTAACCGACGCTTCTCTAGAACGGGCGGGCCGGGGCTCTGCACCGAAGGCACCCGTCAATGGACACGCAACTTATAGCAATCACATAAACGGTATTGAAAACAATCATATGAATGGCATAGACAGTACTCACAAGAGTAGTAGCGACCATATACATCCGTCGCGCGTGTAACACAGGATGTTACAAATAGTTACTAATTGTTTCTGGCATTGATGCAAACTCGGTAACAAAAACAACAAGAACTCGGTGCAAAGTTCTAGTGCATTGTATATGATGTTGATGTGATACTTTCCCTCCTATAGACAAATGGCTTTTATTCGAATCGAAATGAATAGGTGTGTGTCATGCATGACAATGACATTGACTTTGACAGATTTTATGATATGTCAGTGTAGTTACTTACCCATTGCGCTTCTTTTCACTGTGATTAGTATTATGCCATTTGTCTAAAGGAGAGTGTGCCATTGGTCTGTCAAATGGTCATATTAGACAACTCCCAACAAGGAGGCTTATATTAATATTGAAAGTTAACTTGAAACTATTTTTACCAAATGAAACAGATTTTTAAATGCTTTATATTTTACCAAACACTATAAATGCGCCCAAGTACTTTGTGAATTAATATGTTCTGTGTGCACGTTTTTTTGAAGTTTACCTAAGTTTGGTGTGTAAAGAACTTAGAACAATTAGTAACTATAAATTCCATCTTGATGTGAACGCAGCCTTAGTCCGAATTATATCTCCAGTAACGTTATATTTTATCAACATTATCGAGTAATAAAAAAACCGATAACTAGTTTAATTGCATAATTAGTTCAGCTCATAATTTATCAAATAAAATGTAATATTTATAAAGTAAATATAGTAATTACGATACTAAATTATATAAACAATATGTGTCGATTTTAGTAAACTTAATTTTATCACTAAACTCGAATTTCGTTTGAGCCTACATAAGGTAGACATTTTAAATTTTAATGGTGCTAAATTCAGAAAGAGTACTCTATTAAAATTTAAAATTATTGTAACTATATTTAGCTGTCAGAATCGTCCATAAATTAAGAGAAAAATGTTTTAAATTTAGTGTTACCATTGAATAGCTACTTAATTTATTTTAACATTAAAAATAATATTTTTATATTAAGGTGTGACTGTGACTCTTCTAGCGTTGGAGGTGGAAGGCGCTGATCACTTAACATCGGGTGATCCGAACGGTATTTTGCCTCTGATATTCCATAAAAAAATGTTTAGGACCTGTCTGAATTTATATTAGTGATGTAACGAAAAAAATTGTTATATTCGCATCTGCAAAAAATATACGAATGTTCTGCGCATATTAATATCAGAAAACGCATTAAAGATTTCTATTTCCATAAAAATTGTAAGGTTTATTACCTTACTATTTTTATGTAATTTTTATTTAAAAAAAATCCATTCATTTTTATATTTTTTTATTTGAGTCAAATGCCCTAATCACTTTATCATTTGATAATATTTCTTTAATCAGGAAGGTTGCCATTAGTATTTTTATTAAAGTTACGACATGTCATATGTAATGCAATGTAAACAAACAAAAACAAATTCTTCTAGAATCTGGAAGAATTTGAACAAAAACTTAAAATTCGCGATGAGAATTCGCATTTAATTTGGATGCATTCCCGAATGTTCAAAAAATGACATTCGTTACATCACTATTCATATATTTAGCTCAACGGGCCTTATCACGTAAAATAGTTTATTTTCGTAGCTCAACTTATCAGCGTGTCATAACTTCAAAACATTGTACTAAATAATGCATCTGGCATGAATCTTCTGCTATATACATAAAACGTACCTGCAAATTGAAAATTCTGTGTTGTAAATTTAATTTAGATTCATTTTCACATAATTTTATCAAAACCAGTGATTTGTACGAGTTGACTACAACTGTAGTACCTACTACCAAAATATGTATATCAAAGAACTTAGGTACAAAAATATAGGAAGACGCCTAATTATCGTACCCTGTATTTTCTATTCCTTGATCGTACCTATAGGTTATATTAACTCATACTATAATAGAATTTTAATAACTGTGATGTTAGAATAATTGCATTGTTATTCGTTCCTTAAATAAATCTTAAAAAAGGATAGTAATCATGTACTTAAATTATTGACTTCTGTTTGTTCGAATTCAATTTACATGGCAGGCTTTCAAATTCTACATAGCATTATAACCATTACGACGAAATATGACTGCACAATTTCGTATTACCATCTTTTACTCTTCGTCACAATATAAATTGTCAATCAGAATCTAGTTGTGTAGTTTTGTGTATGCAATTCGGTCCTACAAAAACGTCTGCTTTAAACATTTCTAGGTCACTGTTAATACGTAAATGTTAAACCTTTTGACTGCCATGTTCGGCTATAGACGACAAACGAAAAATAGGCTATTTCACTAATGTCGAGCGTAGCCGACCAGAAAACGTCAAAGAGAATATTTGGTTTGTCGGCTGTAGTCAACGAGTTAATGTTTTATTATTGGGGTTCTTTCATATAACGATTTTGTGCTAAAATTATAATAGCCAGAAAATGCAAATTCATAATGTGAATTTAATTATTGTCTCACTATTAATTATAAATGTTACTTAAGTAGGTATTTATTCAGTTTGTATTCGTCTTATTTATTTTATAGATGTTATTGTGAAGTTCATGTGTCTGGAGGCTGCTTTAAATGAGATTGTTATTTCATTGTTTTCAAAATTGTGCTTAATAGTGTTAAGTATATGACGGATATAAATTATTCTGATTTTATCTTTAGGCGAATTCCATAGCTTTAATATTTTGTGAAATATTTTTAATTCGATTAGATTTGCACATATTCTTTCAATATTTTTAGACTTTTTTGCTCTCGCAATGTATTTTTTCTTATGTATTGCAACATTTTGGCACTGTTGTGTTACCACTTACATTGTGTTTGAATAAAAACGACTTTATTAAGAAAAAATATCTTTTATTAATTTTAAAACAGTAAACTGGAATTACTTATGTATAAAAGTATTCTTAACTATATTTACAGATTTTTTAATATAAAAATAAACAACTTTATGTATCATTGCCAGTATTATTAGGCTTCACGTGTTTCCTAATGAAATCGTTGAACATCGCAACATCAGCTGGCTTGTCATCTGAAAAAAAAACAAGTTTTATTTTGAAAGAACATTATTTCATAGAAGTTCTGAATTTTAGTAAATTTCTAACCCCCGTCGTATATTTGTATTCAGTAGACGGGTAACCAGACAAATCTATTATGAGGATGACGCAGACATAATAATTTATCATGGCCGATGATGAATCGACTCTAAATATGTAATTCAACTTCAAAATGTCGATCATTGCGCATTGAAAATAACCGCACTGGTGGGTTACTAGTTTCTCTCGCGCGGTTTCAGCCGCTGGTCGGTTCCTACAGAAAGTAGCGTGATGTTTTACAGCCTATCTATAGTCTTCCTCGATAATTGCACTAAATACAAAAGAAATTATTCAATTCGAACCAGCAGTACCTGAGATTACTAGCATTTCTTTTTTTATGTGATAGGTCGGTAAACGAGCAATCGAATTTCCTGATGGTAAGCAATCAGCGCCGCCCATGGACACCCGCTACAACGGGATGAGTTACGAGTGCGTTGCTGACCTTTAGGGGATTTCGTTTAGGGCGTCCGGTTACCTTAATCACGCGAGGCCGTGGTTAATACCACTGTATTCTGAGCCGTCGTAATCGTCGGCTCAGAATACAGAACAAACCAGAATCCGCGTTCACTCATAATTACATGTCGTCAAATGTGTCCAAAAACAATACGTCAATCCCCCCGCCAGCCGCACTTCCCACCCGCGTAGTGTTGCCGACAGTGGAACAATTCCCTTGGTTTGGGGTAATTTTACAACAGGAGGGTAAGATACGAGTAAACCCAACAAAATAGGTAAACTTACGATAAATGCAACAGACTAGTTCTTCACACATTTCATAGAGGTATCATAAAGTTGACGATTTCTGGCTGTATTTTAGTTACACCTACTATACACAACAAATAAAATAAAGCTTCAATAATTACAAAGGTTTTATTGCGTTCCCTTTTGCTGCTTTAGTTTTTTTAATATGTCTTTAGACTCGGAACTAAAGATTAGAAGTCTACTTACTTTACTTAGTTCCTGAGATTAGCGCATTCTAGCAAACAAACAAACAAACTCTTCAGCATTATAATTAGTATAGATATATCTTAGTAGGATATGCTGTTTTCAAACCACCTTTGTCATAAATATATCTCTTCAAAGTGAATTGAGCAAACTATGCTCTGGCTAGATGGTTTCCAAAATTAATCTAACCGTGCCCTTTGTATGATTTGTATTTATTTTTTTGTCAGGGAAACTAATATGGCATAGGCCATAATGGACAAAAATATAACCCACAACAAATAAATAAGTGGGTAAAATTTTCACCAAAAATGACAACACTCACAAAATGGCCGCATCAATTTCATAGAAAAATAAATGGATAAAAAAAATTCAATAATTAATTAAATATACTATTGCAGTCGATGCTTGCAGATGAAATGTAATCTTATCCACTTTTTTCGTAATTCCAGTCGCATTTTTACTCCTAGTAATAACACAAGACGGCATAATGAAATTAAAATTGATACTCGTAAATACGTCACGACATACCACGTGCCAAAATTGACTAATCGTAGAAATTTCATACTATTCTAGTTGAGAATGGTTTTAGTTGCTTTAGTTTGAAGCGCGATGACGCCTTCTGTAATCTGAGTACGTCGGTCGGGCCGACCCATTCGTGCTCAAGTATAGCTCTCCCAATTAACGCGTTCAAACAAACTCTACATCTTTATAATATTAGTACAGATTACGCTAGACGTTATCTATGGTCCTAAAACATACCTATCTCAGGTTCATTCTCCGTGCCCTCCTCATCACTGGAGCTCTCATTGGCCGGGTGTTTAAGGTACATGTCACTGATCTCACGACCTCCCGACACCTCCTCGATTAGCTTTTTCTTGTCTATCACTGTGTCATCTGGACCTGAGAGACAAAAAAGAAATTTACATAAAACTCGTGTTTTTATATTAAAATACACTGTTGTCTTTGTCCTTCTCCATGTAAAATACCAACATCTGAAAAGGCTTCAAGAAAGGATGCGTTATTTCAAATATTCAGGGGAATAATTCTTTATTTGGCGATTTTGCTCCGTAATTACAAGTCATTGGTTTAGCTATTCGCCACATGTTCCAGTGAATGTATTACCTACATATTTTTTTATTATTATTGTCATCATCATTGTGGTCGCTCATTTTTCTATGTACCTATAGATAGATACATATCAATATTTCATGTTATTCCACATCTACAATACGACATACCTTTATTCTTTAACTCCTCTGCCTTTCGTTTTTCTTCTTCTAATTTTTCCGCCCGCATCTTTAGCCAGTCCGCTTTATAATCCCTATAGACAAAAAATATGATAACATTAACTCTTCGCATTTTATAATATAATTTAGAAATTATGAACAGATATTCATACCTTTCATATTCCTCTGCAGCATCATCCACTAGTTTAAAGAACTCATCCAAACCCTGCAATATACATACACATTTATTTACAGATAATATAATGGCAGTTAAGTTATTAAGTACTATATTTTTTTATGTGGTAGGTTGACAAACACGCACTCCTCGGATTATTTGATGGCATGCATCCGTGCTCGGCGCCGCCCATTGACCCCCGCAATACCAGAGGAGTTAGGAGTGCGTTGCCGACCTTTTTTTGGGATTAGGATAGATTAGGATTGGGGAGGGGGAGGATTGGTTACTTACGCGGCGAAACACAACACTATGGTTGTCTCACGCCGGTTTCTATTAGGCCGTGATATCACTCCGGTCGAGCCGATTCCTGCCAAAGCTTAGCTTCCCACACTTAAATATTAATAAAAATAAACTTACATCACCAGTATGTGCGCTAACACCGCAGCACCTCAAGTCCGAGTAGAATGTATCGAGTGCAAGTGCCATGGACCTGGTCAAGTTGCCAATGTAAGTGTTCCCTCCTTCTGTCTCACCCTCGCCCTCAGCATCTAAAGCCTCTTGGAATGCCTCAAAGTCCCGCATCCATTCCACTGCATATGAATTGTCTACTACATCTGTCTGCAAAAAGAGGTTTTATTAGCATCTCAGAAAGCAGAATAACTATTTAAATAGCATGAATTTTTTGGTATCATCAACTGCCCTGTGGGTGCATTGTCTTCTGTGCAACATGATGTGGCATCATTATTATTAATTTCCACATGGAACATCAGTTTTTGTGATCCACAAATTGTTGTTCTGAGTCTGGGAGGCTTGTGTGTGTGAACCAACACAATAAAGAAAAATGACCCATAGGGTGGGGCAATGCTGGTGTATGAGACAATAGAAAATACATAGTAGATCTACCTTCCATATGAAGGGTTAAAAAAACATGAAACCTATTTACAGGTTAAGGGACTTGTTGCATCAGTGACAATGTGATTTAATTACTTTTTGTAGAAGCTTAATGACCATAGTCAAAACAAGCATAACTACAGAGGGAACTAATTTTCTAAATAAGTTACTTAATTGAACACTGGAATTAACCATTATTGATTATTTTTTTATCATTACTTATTTATAACAAGTTAGTTTCATTGCCATATCAAACACAAGTCACTGATTTTTGAAAATAGACCTTATTACACTTAGAATAAATACATTTTACTTATACAAAAATGATAACATAAACTTACCTTATTCATAACTACAATGAAAGGCAGTCTAGTCTTGTATAATATGGAGCAAGCATACAGCATATTGGACATGAATGTCACGGGTGAGACACTGCGGACTGTGTCCATGACATACACAACTACGGTGGGACAAGATGATGCTAGAGCTTCAGTCACTATAGTGCCGGAAGCTGACCATGTGAATACCTCTATTTGACCTGAAAGTAGAATGAAGGAAATCATGAATGTTTGTAAATAGTTGTTAGACATATGTATATCACTCTATGACACATAGTTTCTTGCATAACTTACAAAATAAAAAAATACATACACTGAAACTTAGCATGTATTGTAGATACCTACCATCTTAGTAATGGTAGGTGTTTGCGCGCCTAGGACTTTTGTGACTTTTTCGGACAATTCGTGTCAATGTGCTATGTGGTCTTGATCAGGCGCTCATAAGCGTCGGTAGTTCTCAAAATAATTTAATTAGTTATAGAAAAATCCCTACCTTACATTTTAGTTATAATTTCTTTGTTCAGATTCAACATAGATTCTTTAAGACAGCAGTCGACATTATTAATTCATTCGCCTTTGTAACAACAAGATTAGTCAAAATTAAATCACAACATATCAAGTATTTTATAGTTTTATTGAGCATCCAGCTCCAGTGTCTCGCAGTAGACATAATTGGCGACCGTGACAGGACACGATCAGGCAATCTACGGATTTTCGAGGTCTAGCTGGAGCTGGCCAGCACTGCGCTGCAACCATAAGTCAGTCAGCACCGCACCGCATCCAGCCCTTGGAAGATTCAAGTATCGGAGGAAGGCCAGCAGTACTTAGCACCGCCGGACTTTGATGCTACTGAATGTAGCACGCCGCAGCGCAGGAGCATTCTGCAGCTAAGTGCCCTTTCCTTAATTCCTATACTTCCGTTTAAAGATCATAGCCTACGTCCTTATCCAATTCCTATATGGTTTTTCTACTTGTGTGGTTTCTTATTTTTAATTAGGTCACCTTTGTCAAGGTTACAATATTGGATCATTCTTTTCTAAATATATGTTTCCTACTTTATATTTCCATTGTTCCGCTATTATCTAGTGTTATTGTCAATTAGCAAGGCAATTACGTGCCATATTTCTAAAATTATTCCCATAAATAAAATAAAGGGAAATCTCAACGTACCCTACATAATCAAATTTATTAAGATAGTTTTGTTCCTTGCAATATTTTTTAGGAAATTTACTCCACAGGCTGCCGCGCCTATCTAGTTCGCTTTAAATACCATTCCGCCGAACATTTCAGAATTGCCTGAGTCCCAGTGCCTGGCTGAGCGACGTTGTCGTAGTGTGCAGCGCCCGCGCAGCGTCCGAGCAGCCTAGGCGGTTGCCCGCAGACCAGCTCCTGCGACCGCGGCCTCCCGTGCGGCAGATACCACCAACAAGGGGCGTGAGCGTATTCATTTATTTTATTAATTAATTTTTCTCGAGTCCTGTTTAAAATTCACACAAATTTAATTTCCTTTTTTGATTGAAACAAGCTATCATCATGGGTGTAGACGACACCAAGAACTTGACGGAATTAAATGTTAAACGAAGCTCCGTCAAGGGCCAAGTTACAAAATTTAGAAATTATTTAGAAAAAATATCACGTTTAGACACTTTTACTACAACACATAGGGCGGAACTTACACTTAAACTCGGTAAATTTGAAACCTTATTCTCAAAGTTCGATGACTTACAAGGCCAAATTGAAATTTATAATTCTTGTGGGCTGAAAGACGAACTTGAAGAACGAGAAAATATCGAAAGGGAGTTTATTAGTAATATTGTAATGGCTCAAGAATTATTACAACTACACGGTAGGGATGAGAGCGTCCACGATACAAGTAATCCTCATAATATAACACATTGCGCTGTCGATCATAGTGAAATGGGTTTCAAGCTTCCTTTGATACAAATTTCAAAATTTGATGGATCATACTTCCGATGGATGGAATTTCGTGATACATTTCGATCTTTAATTCATGAAAATAGTAGAATTACGTCAGTAAACAAGTTCCATTATTTAATTTCTTACTTGGAGGGCGAAGCAGCACAAACTGTTTCAAATCTAGAAGTCTCTGCCGATAATTATCGGGAAGCTTGGAACCTATTACTTGAACGTTACGATAATAAACGTCGTTTGATAAGTCATCATCTTAGTGCATTATTTAACATTAATGCTTTAAGCAAGGAATCTGAAAAATCGTTACGATTCTTGATTGACCACGTGACCAAAAATATACGTGCTCTCTCCAACTTAGGACAAGCCACGGAGCACTGGGACGTCCTTATCATTCACCTAGTCACCTCTAAGTTAGACAATAACACCTTAGTGAAATGGGAAGAACATCTTAACGCGTTGTCAACAGATACAACTACACTTAAGGAGCTTTATAAATTTTTAAACAATCGTGCAACCGTGCTTGAGTCGTTACATCGCAACAGGTCAGACAGCTCATTTAAATCCAATCATGACAAACAACGGTCCGAAGGCCATTCAAAAAAATCGGATCACATACGTCAGAATAAGGCATGTGCATACATTGGTAGTAGTAGCCGACTACAAACACAATTATCCTCGTCGTACCTCTGTCCATGCTGTAATGCTGATCATAAAATATTTGATTGTCCATCGTTTAAGGCAAAGGATGTGAGCGAGCGCATAGCCGAGGCGACTAAATGGAAATTGTGTCTTAATTGTTTAAGGTCTGGTCACCCAACGTTTAAGTGCCGTTTTGGTCGATGTCGGGAATGCAATAAAAGACACAATTCCTTATTGCATCTGCCTGCTGATACAGTCAACAATATTAACACCCCATCTGAAACGTTAGTCAACTGTAACAATCAAGGTACCAAATGTGCTCTTCTTTGCACTGCCTTAATCAAATTAGTCAATCCTAAGACTAATAAATGCGAAACAGTACGCGCACTTCTCGACTGTGGCAGTCAATCCTCTTTCATTAGTCTAAGCCTGAAACAAAGGTTAACATTAGAGGGCTGCCCTATATATGCTGCAAAGGTAATCGGTTTTGGCAACAATGATGCAGGTACTATAACTGAATATTGCATTGCCCAATTAAAATCGTTGCATACACCATTCAACGTCATATCTAACTTTTATGTTATGAAGGAACTAACATCCTTACTTCCCAATTCGGTAATAGACATCAGATCGTTTAATATTCCCAAGGATATTACCTTGGCAGACCCTAAATTCTATCAGCCTTCGTCCATAGATATTCTAATAGGCTCAGATTTATTTTGGGATATTATAGGTTGTGAGCAGCGGTCAATAGGTTCCAATTACCCCAAGTTGCACAGCTCAAAGTTGGGCTGGTTGATTGGAGGCCCCCTGCAACATAAGTCACTCAAGAATATTAAATGCAATCATGTACTTACCCATTTTTCTGACGATAGGGACATAGAATTAAAATTAAATCGATTTTGGGAGCTTGAAGAAATCCCATCTAAGTCCCATTTAAGTGAAAGCGAGCGGGCATGTGAAAGGCATTTTGTGCAGCACACTCGCCGCTTGGAAAACGGCAGGTTTTCTGTCAAGTTGCCTCTCATTGAATCACCAAATTGCCTCGGTGATTCCTATCACATGGCCAAGAAAAGGTTTTACAATTTAGAACGACGATTTAGAAGACAGCCCGAAGTCAAGTCGCAATACGTTGAGTTTATTCGAGAATATGCAGAATTAGGTCATCTTTCTGAAATAACAATAAATAACTTAAATTCTAACTTGTCCTACTTCTTACCTCATCATCCTGTTTTTAAAGAAAACAGCGAATCGACTAAGATTCGAGTAGTTTTCGATGCATCAGCTCGCAGCTCCTCAGGCCTGTCTGTCAACGACATACAGATGGTGGGGCCTCAAATTCAAGACTCTCTTTTCTCCATTTTGATTCGATCTCGTTTCTATAAATATATTTTAGCAGCAGACGTGGAAAAATTATTTCGTCAGATATTGGTAGAAGAATCTGATCGAAATCTTCAGCTTATTCTATGGAGAGAAGACGAGCGTCAGCCTCTCAAGGTGTTGCGTTTAAATACGGTGACTTATGGGTTCACAAGCGCAAGTTATTTGAGCACACGGTGTCTTTGGCAGGCGGGCGAAGAATGCGAGGATCCTCTTATTAGGAAGATTATACAGCACGATCTATACGTAGACGACTTGATTACGGGCTGTAACTCTGAGGAAGAGCTTATAAATATTCAAATTTCTGTGTCAGAAGCCCTTAAGGCAGCATGTTTTAATCTAAGAAAATATAAATCTAATTCCTCTAGGGTTCTTAAAATCTGTTCTGAAAATTCTACAGACTCACTCATCATTAGTGAGTCCTCAAATGCTCTCGGTTTAGGGTGGAATCCTAAAAGTGATAGCCTACATTATTCTTTCGAAATTCCACCTACTGAGGAAAAGGTTACGAAGCGCTATATCTTGTCAACATCGTTTCGAATCTTTGACCCACTCGGTTTCGTCAGCCCATGTATTATCATTCCTAAACTAATAATGCAGCAACTTTGGCTTGACAAGGTTGGCTGGGACGAGCCTGTTTCAGACGAAATAAAAGCAGCTTGGCGTAAGTTTTCTGATAATCTATCTTGTCTAGCTACATTTACACTGCCAAGGCAGGTTGTATGCCACTCACCTTCTGTTACAGAGGTCCATTCCTTCAGCGACGCCTCTCAACGCGCCTATGGGGCTTGTATTTTCATAAGGTCCATTGATGAGGCAGGTATCGTGCATGTTAAGCTTCTATGCTCCAAGTCTAAGGTAGCACCAATCAAAGCCTGTACCATACCTCGTTTGGAGCTGTGTGCAGCAGTGTTAGCCGTCAGACTCTGCAAGGCTGTCGTCGATTCTTTAAGATTTCCTGTAACACGCAAATTGTTTTGGTGCGACTCCAGCGTTGTTCTTGCTTGGCTGCATACTAGTTCAAGAAGGCTGAAGACTTTCGTGGCTAATAGAATAGCAGAAATACTGGAACAATCAGAAGCTTCTTGTTGGCGTTATGTACCTACCTCTCAGAACCCCGCGGATCTCGTTTCACGCGGCGTGTATCCTAAGGAACTCAAAGATTGTAATTTGTGGTGGTCAGGGCCCGAGTTTTTAATTCAAGATGAGTCTTCTTGGCCTATATTACCGGATAAGCCCCAGCAAGAGTTAGAAATTCCTGAAATAAAATCAAATACTGTTGCTAAGCTGGAAAATGTTTCGATCATCCCATTCCAGAAATATAGTCAATTACATAAAATAAAAAGGGTGTATGCTTATGCATTAAGATATATTCATAACCTGCGCAATCCTCGCTGTAGGCGTATTGATACCCTTAGTTTAGAAGAATTACAAGCTTCATTTTACCTTTTATGCCGCAAGGCCCAACAGGAATCTTTTCCTGTTGAGTACGAGCTCTTATCTAAAAAAAGGACAATTAGTACAAAATCACCCATCATAGCGCTTACACCTTTCATGGACGCAGATGGATTGATAAGAGTAGGTGGCCGTTTGGACGCTTCATCTATTTCATTTAATAACAAACACCCTATTCTACTTAATTCCTCTCACCATTTAACAAAATTGATTTTCGAAAGCGAACACCTACAGAAATTACACGCTGGTCCACAACTCATCCTCGCTAGTGTCAGGCAATACGTGTGGCCTATTAGTGGGCGGCAACTCGCGAGGAGAACTGTGCGCAACTGCATCAAATGTAGAAGGGAACAGGGCAAGACTTTAACACCCTTAATGGGTAACTTGCCTTCACAGCGCGTTACGGTGGACTTCCCATTTCGTAGTGTCGGTATAGACTTTGCCGGTCCCTTTTTTGTCTCAAATAGAAAGGGCCGCGGATCTAGAATTACAAAATGCTATCTCTGCATTTTCGTCTGCTTACGGTACAAGTGTGTACACTTGGAAGCGGTAAGTGATCTTTCGAAGGACGCTTTCATTCTTACCTTACGCAGGTTTATATCCCGTCGGGGTAAACCTACAGAGATTTTTTGCGACAACGGCCGTAATTTTGTAGCCGCTGCCAGAGAAATTGGCAGCTTTTTGAAGCATTATCGACAACAAATAACAAATTTTTTCAACGAAGAGGAAATTAAATTTCACTTTTCACCAGCTTACGCTCCACACTTTGGTGGTATCTGGGAGGCCGGGGTAAAATCCGCCAAACACCATATTAGACGTGTAATGGGCAACACGCATTTGACATTTGAAGAGATATCCACACTGTTCGCACAAGTGGAAGCCATACTAAATAGTCGTCCACTTTACCCCATGTCCTCCTCACCAAATGATCTCCTTTTCCTTACACCAGGGCACTTCCTGCTTGGACGGCCGCTAACTGCGCTGCCTTCACCGAACCTAGAAGACTGCAATGCCACTCAGCTTAAGCGCTACCAACGGCTTGAACAGATCCGGCAACACTTCTGGAGAAGATGGCAGAGGGAGTACCTGGCGGAGCTACAACAAAGATCTAAATGGCGGGCTAATGATACTCCACTGAAAATCGGCGACCTAGTGCTGCTTCAAGAGGACAACATACCACCACTTTGCTGGCGACTGGGCCGAATCAGTAAACTTTTTCCCGGTCCTGATGGAATATGTCGCGTAGCAGATGTCCAAACAACACAGGGATGTTACCGAAGACCCTTCAGGCGACTCTGCCCCTTACCAGCGACGGAACACCAAATCGAGTGAGAGTTAAAAGCCGCAGTCTTTTAACGGCGGGGAAGATGTTTGCGCGCCTAGGACTTTTGTGACTTTTTCGGACAATTCGTGTCAATGTGCTATGTGGTCTTGATCAGGCGCTCATAAGCGTCGGTAGTTCTCAAAATAATTTAATTAGTTATAGAAAAATCCCTACCTTACATTTTAGTTATAATTTCTTTGTTCAGATTCAACATAGATTCTTTAAGACAGCAGTCGACATTATTAATTCATTCGCCTTTGTAACAACAAGATTAGTCAAAATTAAATCACAACATATCAAGTATTTTATAGTTTTATTGAGCATCCAGCTCCAGTGTCTCGCAGTAGACAGTAGGTAATGCGCAAAAATGTTTAAATAAGAAGTTATAGCCTATAGCAGTAGAAGTAGTAAAAACTGAGAAACAAATTCTTGCCTCTTTTACTTATTTAAATAAAATAATAGATAAATGTAACCCACATACCTGGTGTATCAATAATACAGTACTTATGTTTCTTGCCAGCCTTCTCAATCAGATCTACAACTTGGCCAAACTTTGTTGAAAACAAATTGAGGGCCGTTACAATGCCTCCGTTGGGACCCAGCCCATACTGCTTCATCACTTCTTTGTAGTTTACAGTATCTCTAATATCTGCAAATTAAAATAATATTGTCATCAAGGTACTTTGTTGATCAATGATCATAATGCATGCTTAAAGTTTAGTTTAGTGAGTAGTTTTAGGGCTTTAAACACCAAATAACTACGGCAGGTCGTCAAAATATATCTTTCGCAGGTTATAACATGATTTTACTTACCAATATTGGCAGGATACGGCACTTCTCTACACGCCGGATCCAAGTTGATCAGGTAAGGTCTGGAGCCATCTACGACTTTCCCAGCTAGCCGCCGAGTAAATGATGTTTTTCCAGCACCCGCCATACCTAATTAATAACCAAATATTAATAAACTCCCCAAAACATTTAACATGTAACTTATTAGACTAAATCTAACCTAAAATAATCAAACATATCGGCTTTTTAGAATCCTCTTCCATTGCTTCAGGCTTGGGTTGACTTGTAGCCATTTTGCCGATCTATTATTATCTATTATATTAATAAGTTGTACTTGAATTAGATTTTAAACTATTTTCTTTCCACTGTTTACAAAGAAACACGACGGAACATGATACAATTTTTAAATGTCACATTGACAGATAAAGAGAGGTGACCTTCATAACAAATCGATTGACATTATTCATTTCAATGCATTTAGTCGATTTTTACAAATTATCTATTTATGATGAACATTTTGTTATTTGTCATTTTTGTCTTTATATAAATGTCTTCATTATCAATCACAACAACATATACAAGAGAGAGAGAGAGTACAGGTACACAAGAATACGTAGATAAACAGCTGTGTTTTGAAGGACCCGCCTTCGGAGGTTTTTTTGGGAATCGAGCGATCGATTGCCCTACGCATGTACTAAGTGCGATCTACGGGAGGCCTGTATGGGCGCCAAAAAGAATTCTTGCGCTAGTTGCATCCCAGAAGGTTGTGAAAATTCACATTATGCGTGAGTATCCGTAGCACGATCTCGGGAAGCTTTGAACCTACTTACCACATTAATGCCATGGAATCTTTCTCTAATCTTAATCTCTTTACAAAATAAATTATCTTTTATCTTTTATCTTTATCTTTATCTGGAAATCTGGAAGTGATAGTTTCGCTCAGTTTGCGCGCGAGGCGTCTGCGAATCAAAACACCGCTGTCGCGCGAGTATAATGAGTTGCGACGCGATCTCAAGACGAAGTGGAAGCTACGACTATCTCAAACGAGGAACAAGCTCGTTGTTATTGCAGCATGAAGACCCTTCTTTGAAGAGTGCCTAGAGAGATGCTACGTAGGAATGGCGGAGCCGTTAACTCTTTCTTCTAAGTAGTCATGCTTGCTTGTAGGAGGCGGAGCACGTGTAAATTAGGGAGAGTCATGCTTCGGCACGAACCAAAGCGTTCTGTTTCGCTCTGTGAGTGAGGTTACCGGAGGCCTTATCCTTCCCGAAATCCTTAAATCTCCTAATCTCTAATTCCCAACAGGTCGGCAACGCACTCGTTACTCCTCTGTTGTTGAGGGTGTCCGTGGGGGGCGCTGATTGTTTACCATCAGGTAATCCGTCTGCTCGTTTGCCGACCCATCTATCACGTAAAAAAATGAACTATTTTCCTTATGCCCCAGCCGTTGTAGAAGATATTCCGGGCGTCGGCGATCGTGCGATAATCTCCGGCCACCCTGAGCGTAGGTCTGCGGGCGGTGAGCTACCCTTGCTTGCCTCCCGCGACTACGATCACAATCGAGCACACGGCGCGTACTGTACCACACTTGCTTCATAGAGCCCAGTTACCACCATAGATATATTCCAAGAGAGCTGATGTACAGCCGTGGTTGCGGGTCTGGAGCAGAAGGATCAAGGTGGTTTTTAATCAGTTAGTCTTATATTCCCTATCGACCCCTTCTTACACACGAGAAGTAATTTAATTTTACTCCATGCGGGTGCGACCGTAAAGATTGATAAAATTAAGAGACCAAGGGAATCATAGAGTAGTCGCACCCGCATGGAGAAAAACTATGATTGAGTTTAACAATAGCCCCGCCTTTACACTGGATCAATCTTTAGTTTCGTACCTCAATTACTAAATGACTCGACTGATTCCTTCACAACTTATGATATTAAACATTTTTACTGTCGAGGTTTATCAAAAATATAAAGAAATGCTTATTTTGTACTATCATTAGGCACTTTATTTCTTTGCTACAATTATATTTACATATTTACAAAGGTTCCTTATCAACTATTTAATTTTCCTTTTCAAGATTTAAAAACATTATGGGATAAAGGTGGCCAAGTTTGGAGATTCTCTTCTGTATAATTAATCTCAAAGTATCTGTATATGTTGCTGGAGGCTTGCATGTTGAAGGATCACGCCAGTGGAGACCTGTAAATAATAAAAAGTGTAATTTAATATTTAGTTTATCGATAGTATTTATCAACTTTAGAAAAAAAGCATGATATATACCAGTAGAATCACAAGTAAATAAGGCAGGGGAAGGCACATGATCTCTTGTATAATTCCATAAACAATCACGTAGAACTTGCACAATCTGAAACATAAATTACATCGTTTAAGAAAACCATAAAGGACAACGCTATCACTATTTTATATTAAAACATTGTAGATTTACCTCACTAGCTGTAAGCTCGGGGGCCAACTCAAGCATATGACTGAGTGGATGCGGTAACAGCTGTCCTAGCGTCATTGTGGACAACAGTTCAGTCAATGCTGCACGTTCTTTAGCCATCTCTGCTGACTGTGTGTGTCGATCTAAAACAACACAAACGTATTTGAAAGTTAACTTATTAATTAATGTCGAGCTAGTAATTGCCAAGGACTGCAAGATGTGGTGAAACCAGGTTGCGAAGTGACTATAAATGGACATAAGTACAAAAACATACAATTAGAAGGTTGACATACGTTTAAAATTGTTTTATTACTAACCAAGATAAGCCCTCAGTCGATGCAGTAGCGTGGCGGCAGTAGCCCGAAGTAAAGCAGATGCGAGACAAAGCGCGGGCCGCGCGGCCGCTGCCCGCCTCAGAGCGGCGCGAGCCACGGCACAGCTCTCTAACGCGCCGCGCATGTACAACTCTCGCTCTATGCTCACTTGCTGCAATTTACAATTCATACCTTGAAAATGTTCAACTACTATGACGCAAGTTACCTTGCTAAACCCTTACTTCAATCAGACATTCGCGAGTTAAAGTGTTTTTTTTTCAGTCTACAATTAGGTTATTCATGATAAATCAGTCAAAATAATCATCTTTGTCCCCAAGATAGCTAGATTGCAATGTTGGCGCGGTGGCTTGGCCACTAGTTGCCGCGCTACTGTCGCAGTTTAGATTCCCGCACAGAAAAACTCTTTGTGTGTTACACAAATTGTTGTTACGGGTATCGGTGTGATGTATATGTAAAATTGTATGTTGTAAACCCACGCACCCAGGACATAGGAAAAATCCTAGTTGAAAACAAACAACATTTTTGGAAAAAAGAAGTTAAAGCATTATTTCTAATTAGGTAAATTATAACATCTAATCTAACTATATCAAAATTTATTACCGTCTATATGACATTGCATTGCTTACCTTAGTAAAATCTTCATCGGGCCAAGGCAGACCGTTGTACATGACATCTGGAGACACCAGCTCCACTAACAACAGAGACACGGACGTCGCTCCTTCTACTAAGCCGCTGTTACCATCCTAACGAGATGAAACAAATTAGTGAGAAAAATTTACAGATAAATCGACTAAAAATGTATATTGAAATTTATTAGTCGATTTTCCCTAGCCTCTCACTAGGAAAGTAGGAACTTCATGAAACAACGAACTTACTAAAAGGCAGAAATATCAAATTGCTCCTTCAAACAGATTGCCCTCAAGTATTTTTGTGATTAATATTTGTAAATTCTGTGAATATGAGTACGCTTTTTAAATTTTTCATATTCCGATGGTTAAATACTAAAACGTTCTATGAAATCGCAACATATGACGTCATCATATTTTTACGTCAATTAACATTAAACAACAATAATTGTTTCTGAAAAATTTGCTATAAAAAAAATATAAAATTAATTATGTCAGCAAATGATCATGTTTTAATACCCTACATATTGTACTGAAAAGTCAAAATAATCCATTTTGACCTTGGAACCTATCCAATTGTATAGCTTGCTAACTTACAAAAGTACCATCACCATAAAACCCGATTAAATAATGTTTTTGCTACTTACACTCACCATGCAGGCGGTGAGCGCGCCCATTAGCAGTTCGTTGTTTGTGGTCAGTATTGGCGGGATTTCATTTGAGTCTGATCCGTTTGGTTTCCTCACACCTTTCCCGATTATACCAGCGTGGAACACTGACGTGTGGCTTTGAGTAAGTTGCGTTATTGGACCCTGAGAGTAAAACATTTTAAAAGTTAACACTAAAGTTTGTTAAGAAATTGTAACAATATTAGTTAGTTTTAATAACAATTTATATCTATTTCATTTAATATCTATCTAAAAAAAGTAAAAAGATTATTTTTTAATAGTGTGATAATAGTTATGGTGAGATATTCTAAATTTATTTATTTTTTTAGAAGGCTTACAGACTAATACATAGAAAATGATTTTTTAAAGTATAATTGACAAATTGCTAATTACAAGCCTCCACATATAAAAAATACTTAACTAATAATAATAAATTTATTGAAAATACTGCGCGACTTCGTCGTGACGCGAGTCTTCTTGTAACTTGAAACTATAGTTTTATTAAAAAAAAGGATTATTCATTTGTGGGATTTTCATTTATGTAAAAATGAAATGCCAACTTAACTTGACATTGATATAAAAAACTAATATTAATAATAATTAGACAGTGATGTGGACCAATGGGGTAGTTTCCACTTAGTCAAATCAATGATTTTCTATGAAAAAGCATGTTGTAACATCATAATATTTAAACGTCAAATAGCAAACAAACTTATTTCCCTTGAATTACTTTGTGGAAATAGTAAAATTCTTGCAGTTTTTTGTTTTAAAAATTAGCCTGTGTCCTTCCTTGAGTTTCAAACTATGTTTGTACCAAATTTCAAATAAATAGATTCGGTAGTTTAGGTGTGAAGAAAAGACAGCCAGAGAGAGTAACTTTTGCATTTATAATTTTAGTTTGGATTAATGTATGCAAGTGCGATTATTTTACAATACTTTTGTAGTTTTAAATCTTATAGATAATTAAAAAATGCAAAAGTTACGATGTTTGGATGTTTGTCACTCAACCACGCCAAAACGGCTAGACGGTTTTGGATGAAAGGAGAATGGCGAGAATGGACCCACATGATTTAAAAATAAAAGAGGCGTCGTGTACCTCCAAGTCTATTTGAATTTAAAATAAGAGTTTAGTAAAAGATTACATAAAAAATATTAAGTTGCTAGCTCATGGGAATTAAAAGTTAGAAATAAATGAAATCTATTGAAAATATGTTATCATGCAGTTTACGAACGCATCGCGTGTCACCGATTGCATTCCAACGTTCATTATGTTAAACAATTTCATCCCCTACTTATGCTTTTGGACGGTTAAGTTTGGCAGTTATTTTTTCTTTTTATACTTAAAACGTAAAATAAAAAACACAACAAAAGTGAATATACAAAAATACACATTTTAATAAATAAAACTACAACGCGAGAATATTTTACTTCTAACCTTTTTTGTGCGAACGTAAGTTGGAACGTTTACGTCTGACAGTGACGTATTAGGTATGTCATATTGTCATTCCATCGTTTGCTCTTACCGGTTGACTTGGGATTTGAATGCGATTTTGTGGATTATTTTTCGACGACTTGGCTTTATATTTTGGACTGACTCTTCTGCATAACGACCACCGTATTTATCTTTGGACTCCGATTTGCAAGTGATTTGGACTTATTTACCGTGCAAAATGCGTTGTGTTAATTGTCAATTACGCATTGCACGATTACGAAGACACCGTGTTTTCGATGAAAACGCTCAGCTAGTTGAGAAAGTGCGTAGATGGGTGTATCCACGTGATGTAAGTATCCTAAATGATAATTATGTACTTATTTACATTTGTCTGCAAGGAACGAGTAAAACCTACTTATTATGCGAGTATCTGATGCGAGGGTTCGACTGTAAGTTGGTGGCCTCAATTCAACTTTTACAGCTGTTTTCATGGTAGCAGCAGATCTACTGTTACTGCAACTATAGGAATATAGTTACCAATATCCTAAATGTAATGTACCTACATAAATAAGTAAATATTCCTTGTTAATAGAATTAAACCTATATCTAACAATCTTGATGTAAACGAGTAGTAGCATTAATTACAAACTTCAGTAGTTTATGAATGCTATGTATACCTATTAATGTTTTTTTTTAAATGGTAATTAATAATAATAAAAAACTATTGTCTTTAATTATTGCAACATATGTATGGTTAAACTAACACTGGTTTTATAATAAATAATAATAAAACGAATGTATAATTATATACCTGTTTACTTTTTTTTAGATAACTCACGACTGCTTTATTTGCCATTCCTGTTGGGAGTTGATAAATCACGAACCCAATCAAGATGTTACCCGTCAGCAACTTGGCCATCGAAATGTGTGTGCTGGATGTGGGAGATCCATATTGAGAATAAGAAGCAGATTGGTACTAAGACCAGAAATGTCTGAAAGAGAAACCCAAATAGCAAATGTAGTGGCTGAATGGATAAGACCCCGCCAGGTAAATAACAAAATCATCATATCATATAAGTACAATATTATATAATATGTTTTACTGAGACTGCACTGGCTGCAGCGCTGCATATTGTAGATTCAATTTCCACATGGAACAAATATTTTGTATTGATGGATCCACATCACAGTTACTCTGTAGCTCAAAATGTACAAATGTTACTCTGTAACATCTGCCAACTAAAACTTATTTAATGTTACTAAGTGTTGACTTGTTACTGTAAGTCGAGTAACATTGTTTGATGATCAGTAACACTTAGATAATGTGGGAGCCAATATGTTTATTTTTATGTTTTTACATTTGTAATTTTCATTGTTTCAGTTAACTAATAATGATGAGATTTGTGTACCTTGCTATCTACGAGCGCAAAGAGTATTGGGTAGCTCTCAGAGAAGTTCTACCCTTGTTCCTCCTTCCACATTTCGTCAAAGTGATACACAGCCAGAACAACAAACAGAAGTTGTTCCATCGACATCTGGAAATCTCATCGATGAAACATCTGCTGAGCAAATATTGCCAGCTACATTTACAGATGACACTGCAGAAGATGATGAGGTTAGCCTGCACATTACAAGTCCTCCATTGCAGGTAACTAGTGCTGAACAAATCACTTTACCTACGTTAAGAAGAGCAGCAGACACTGCACGTCGTTGCCTGTTTTTGGAGTGCAATGATAGTGAAAAACGACGTGTGCCTGATGGGCTAAGGAAGCAAATTATTAAGGATTTTAATTTTTATATTCCAAGAAATGCCAGAAGTTGCACATTTCATTTAGGTGCCAATTTGTTTCATGAATTATATGCTGCTGAAAATGCCTTATCAACGTTTAGTGCAGCACATATAGAAGAAATAGTATTTTTGCTAGCAGAAGAAACTCAATTAGATTTCCAAAATCCAGAAAATATTGATGATCATCTTTTTAAGTATTGGTTTGGACGGACAAAGGCTGAATTTAATGAAGTTCTAGTAGAAGTACCTCAATTAAATGATGCAAAAATGAAAAACGGTTTTAGTGCACTTCTGTGTAAAATGCGGACTGGAGATAGCGATGAGAGAATCTCGACACTATTTAAAATTCCAAGAAGGACTCTCGAGGATCATATGAATAAAGCACGAGGCATCTTGTGCCAGTACTACGTGCCTCGGCATTTGGGATGGGCTCACAAACCCAGACAAGAATTTGTGGCAAGAAATACTGCTCTGGCTGAACACCTTTTTGGAAATCCAGAAACGCCCAGTGAAGAAAGGCGTTTAATTGCAATTGCTGATGGAACTTATTTAAGTAACCAAAAAAGTAGCAACTACTCCTTTCAAAAAGCAACTTATTCTCTTCACAAGTATTACAACCTAGTGAAACCTTTTTTAATAGTTTGCTGCGATGGGTATATTATAGAGGCCATGGGACCATATCCAGCTACGAAAAATGATGCCTCCATAATGAATGACATTATGTCTGAGGGAGGTGCCTTTACACACTTATTTAGAGAGGATGATGTTTTTATTTTAGACCGTGGGTTTAGAGACTGTGCAGATAACATGACAGACAAAGGTTTTTTTATACATATGCCTGAAACTATTTCGACAGGGGAAAGGCAACTTTCGACTCTCCAAGCCAATATTTCAAGATGTGTTACCATGAATAGATGGGTGGTTGAAGCTGTTAATGGAAGGTTTAGTAGAGATTTTAAAATATTCCGTGAAGTTTATTTAAATAAAAGATGTCCTCATATTATGGAAGATTTTCGAATTGCTGCTGCATTTTTGAATCATTTTGCTGTTCAGTTCAGGGAAAGAGCTAATGTACGTGAAATTATCGAAATAATAGATGCAAAAATATTTGAAGACAATGAACTCTGTGAAGTTGTACAACAACATAATTTAAATATGAGATCCACACTTTTTCAAAGTATCTCACATACAAATATAGAATTCCCTGAATTGACCATAAATGACTTAGAACTAATTGCTCTAGGCACATATCAAATAAGGCAAGCAAAATCATATGTTGGGGAACATCTAAGAGTCCACGGAATGTACACACTAGAAGTTTGCCAAGATAATGCACCTCTTCAAGGGATATTTAATGACAGCCAGCCATCTATTATACGTGGCAGAATTAAATCTAGGCATATAGGAAGTAAGTCCTACTTTACATATATTGCAGTTAATAGAAGGCTAGAGGGGCGAAGTGCCATAGTAGGTTATTATTGCCATTGCCCTGTAGGAACACGAACAGTAGGCTGTTGCTCTCATGTTATGAGCATATTATGGTACATGGGTTATGCCAGACACCAGGAATCTATTTCTGCACCAGCTACATTTTTAGACAATCTTTTAGTAGGGTAAATAATGTTTTAAAGATTGTCTAAAAATGAAGAAGGTTCAAAGAAACATAGCTTTATGGTATGTGAAAATACAAATTATAAAAGTATTGATAAATACATCAGTTACTATGTTGTGATAATAAAGTAAATAAAGATTTTTTTAATAATGGACATTCTTTTGTTTTTGTTAGTGTAAGTAACGCCTACCTATTTAACTTATCATTGTTTTTAGGTTTTTACCCACAACATGAGTTCCTCTACTTTTACTAGCGGTCTTAGACAAAGGACTTTTCTGTTAGCGTTCCTAACAAACACTAAGTATTAGATGACAATGTTAATTATGCATTACCGTCAGGAATAGGGCGCCATAGTTAGGTTGAACCCAAATGACCGACGTTGCTATGGTTACGCACAGCCCCTGCTGTTTGCTGTTTCGCTGACTCAAAAATCTTTTACATTGAAAGTCGGTCGCTGTTTTGGTGCAATTTATGCCATCTGTCACTTGTGGCTAGACAGGTAATGTCATTATCATACATTTTGTACTTGGCGTTTCGCGGGAACGCTAACGGAATAGTCTTATACCTGCTTCGATTAATCTAATCTGTGCTTAGACATAATACATCTATAGATTTAGCCAGGTTACCATAGTTACCATGTTCCTAGTTCACAGATAATTTTAACTTTTAGATTTTTAGGTTATAGTCTTCTAACTTGTATAACTTTTTTCTCCCAACTTTTACAGTTGACTGTCCATTTGCATTTTTGCTAGTTTTCTATAGTTCTATAACTAGTACTAAATTTTAATAATGTATGATTCTAATATCAATGGGTCCCAACTTACATAGAAGCTCGCCATTCTTCTTTGGCACTACAGGCATAGAATACGATTTGGAATAGGACATTAGCTACTTTTTATCAACATAGCGCGCGGGCGGAAGGTAGTTTATAATGGGAGTGGTAGTTACATGTTTCTGGTTGAGATGTATGAGCAGGTCGTGTTGCGCGCGCGCCCGGGGGGGCTGCAGCGGTCGGCTGCCGAAGACGGCGTCGTGTCGCAGCATGGCGTGCTCCAGCAGGTCGCGCAGCGCCGCCGCGCGGGCCACCTTGCTGCACCCACACACCTTGCGCAACAACCGACACGCCGTCGCCACGCCGCGCAACTTCTCCATCAACTCTGCATATTCAACAACATTCTATTTTTATATAGTACGGTAAAGTTAGCCGTTTGTCTGCGCAATGGATCTTTAAGGAACAAAATTGTGTACTGCACAGCTAATCGGCTTAGATACGTTGGCGGTATTGTAGGTCGGCAAACACCAAAAGAGTTACGAGTGCGTTGCCGGCCTTTTAGGAATAAGTGTTTCGATTATTTAACGATTAAGAAGGGATAGGAGGGGGCGGATTAAGCCTCCAGTAACCTCACTCACACGGTCACACACATCAAACCTTCAGTAAATTGAATATTACCTGTTAAATGTAGACACCTGAAGAAATATTTGACAGTAGCTTGTACCACTTTGAGAATAACTTCTACACTCGGCGGCGGTGCTTTAGTTCCTGTCATGTCTACTCGGTCCAAAACCTGAAATATTATATGTATTATGTATTAGGCATTTTAAAACATATTACACTCACTACATTTCTTCATAAATAAATTCTAAATAATTTTCAGAATGTTGAAGAGATTAAATTAAGATTAAGAATATCCAAAGTAAAAAGACAGGACAATCACGAATGAAATATATTAGACATTAGAATTTTATAACACTTTTTGTATCACACTAGCTAATCTCGCGGTTTCACCCGCTGCTCGGCTCCATTTGATCGTAGCGTAGCTATCAAGCTATCAAGCTACAAACTTACAAATTTTACCTCTTTATAGTATAGATTATTATCATATAGTTTTTTTTATGGTATAAGCCGGCAAACAAGCAGACGGATTACCTGATGGTAAGCAATCGACGACGCCCATGGACACCCGCAACACCAAAGGAGTTACGAGTGCCTTACCGGGCTTTTGGGGATAGGGGTTGCGGATATAAGGATCGGAAAGGGATAGGGGAAGGGGAGGGATTGGGCCTCCGGAAATCTCCCTCACACGGCGAAACACAACGCTGTGGGTTGTTTCACGCCGGTATTGTGTGAGTTTTATGGAATATAGGGCAAACAGGCATACTGGTGCCGCAAGCAACTGATGCCTAGTGATCAGTGCCGCCATTGGACACCCGCAACAACAGAGAAGTCACAAGTGCTTTGTTAACCTATTATTCAATTATTATTTTTAGAACTGACCTCAGCCAAAGCATGGCACGTAGGCATTTCATCCAAGGAGGCCATAGTGCACTCCTTCCTGATCCTCAATAGAGAAGTGTACTCTTGCAACGCGCCACCAATGCGGTACAAGTTCGCTTCCACCGCGCGACCAATCGGCCGCGTCCGTAAATGAGGGACCCGGTTTGAATTCTCCCATCTGTTTTAATGGAGTAAATAAACATGATTGAGTATACAATTTTATCATGTATTAGTATACAATTTTATCATGTATTAGTATTAGTATACATATGTATTAGTATAGATAAAATAAAGAAAGTAAAGATAGATTTAAGAATAATAATTTTCTCTCTTCACATTCAAGCGTTTCATTACATTACAGGCTAGTGAATCTAGTGGTACAGCTACATCAATTAAGACTACCTATTCTGTGTTTGGCCCAGAAATATAGAACTAAGGATTTTCTCCTGAGCCACCAAGACCCAAAACAACAAGTTGCGGATCACACAAAGTGTTGTTCCGTGCGGGAATCAAACATGTCGCACAGAAGCTAGTTGCCCAGCCACAACGCCAACCGCGCGGTCAAAATTATTCATGTATTTTTCACTAAAAGTACATACACTTATTTTTTAATACTTCTTACATTGTTACTTGTAAGTAATAAAAACGACTGCTTACCTCAACAACTTGATAATGTTCAAACAGAAATGATGCAAATATGTCTTCTGGTCCTTCGGTACGGACCCGTCTAGGAAGCACATCTTGATCTCATTGTCGGACAACATGGCGTCTCTTAATGCGTACTCGACTCCAGTCTTCACGAAATTCTGGTACCTGATAAACAACAATACATACAAAAAAAAATCTACATGTTTTTTCTATAAGGTCTTTTAAAGGTTATATGCCTGTGGTAGGCAAATGATATACTGGATCACTTGATAGGAAGATCAGCCCTAGCCATGAATGAGAGTAGAGAAGTTCTCAAGAAATTTGCCCTTCCAAATTGCTTCACTCCATTTAAGGCCGTAGTATGGCTCTGCCACGTAAATAACTAAAATCACATACATACTTGAACCCTAAAATCATTGAGTCACCGCGGCCTCGGCCTAGAGCAATAGAAGGAACGGGGGGGGGGGGGTTAGTTAGTAAGAGTCTGACACTAAGTCATTTGATAAAAAATAAGGGAGAAGTCATTTGATGATTTTCCCAACTCATCATACTATAATCTATCTATGTACACTATCTTCATTCACATTCATATACATACATAGTTTTTTTATGTGGAAGTGTAATAAACATCTATCCATACTTACAACCTTTAGCGTTTATAATTTAAGTAAGGCATTTCTAAACATTTTTACATAAAAAAATAGTTCTTATGTAATAGTTAATAAGTAATGTTTTACCTTTCAGTATCCATACTAATGTCTGGACTGTCACTAGGCACATGCATAGTTATAGTGCCGGAGATAATCCGTACTAGAAGAGCTAGAGTGGAGTCATCTCGGGAATACTGAAGTAAATAACTGATTGTGCTGACAAACTCTGAAGGGAGGTTGTAACCTGAAAATAAAAAATATTATTATTTATTTATTTCTTTACCAGTCAAGGGGCAGGCGTACGAGGAGGCCGGAGCCAACTGCGCAGAGAGCCTTTAAACAACTTTAATCTAAATAAAATGGGAAACAAATCCTTGTTATTACTATTAATGTCAGTTTTTAGAATACAGTCATTTTTAGTGTAGATCTAGTTTTTTTTAAAAGCATTTAAGGTTATTGTTTTCATACAAGAGTGTTACAATCAGAATTCAGATGAGAAGAGAGATTAAAATATTAATTGTAATTAGAATGGAGATGCACTGGTATAAAATTTTGATTTTGTTACTTTATTATTTAGTTTAGGAACCAAACGTTGAAGTTTCTTGCTTGTTCTTCTCCATAAGAATCTACACTTCGGAATGAGCACCTCACTTTACTGATGATGATGCTTGATGAACAGACTAACAGACTTACACACGGTTTCTGAAAGGCTTGTCAACGCTAAAATTAACTAATCTCCTGTTAAAAACTTGTCAAGTCATCTGATTGGTTGTTGATAATTCAGTCAACCAATCAGATGACTTGACAAGAGATTTAATTGATTTTAACATTGATCGGCCTTTCGGAAACTGGGTGTTATTCCATTTTCACGTTTCAAAAATACTAATTTATGGTTTAGTTACAATAAATGAATAAAAATATAAAGAGTCTGTATAAGGTAATTATAAAAAGCTTAGAATAAAACTATTAATTTTTAAAGCAATATTATTGTGTTAATATAAGTTAATGAAGAAATATACTTACTGACTAAAATAAGTATTCTCGCTAAAGAATACTTTTCCAGCTGATTGCCATCTAGCAGTTTGTCTCTAACGATATTGATTTCTTCAGCGGCACTCATAAGCAACGGAATGTTTTTGTCAGGGAACAAACATTCATATTCTAATTTCTGAAGTAGGTATTCTGAAATAAGGAGATTACTAATTATAGTATAAATTCTTTACGTATTTATTTAGATGTATTGTTAACTTAATTTAACAATTAACATCTCTAATTAGTCATATATACAATAATTATATATATAAAGGGTGCAAATTTTAAAGAGATACGCAATTATTTAAACCAAATTTTGCTGTTCTGAGATAAACAAAAAAAAATGGCAAAATTGGTTCAAGCATTGTTGAATTTAAAGCTACACCAATTTTCATGTTTAATCTTTTTGATATTAGAAAGAAATAATTTATAATCCATACTAATATTATAAAGCTGCAGAGTTTGTTTATTTGTTTGAACTCGCTAATCTCCGGATCAACAGGTTAGAATTGAACAATTCTTTTTGTATTTGTTAGTCCATTTATCGAGGAAGGCTATAGGCTATAAAACATCACGCTATGATCTGTCAGAGCTGAGCAGGGTATGAAAGCGCGTGAGAGTAGCTAGTGTTTTAATATTTCTTATCTGCACCAATATCAAGTTTTCTTGATGAGCTAGTCTACAATAACAAATAAAAGGTTGAAAGAGGCTTACCAAGCAGTTGCCTGCAGAAGAGGTTGGATAATGCATGCCTGAGCAGTAGCAGTAGACAGCGCACGTCCGCCCGCAGCAGCAGCGCGACGAGCGCGGCCGGGGACACCTCCGCCCACGCCGCGCTACCGCGCTGGGATACACACACCGCGCACAGACGCTCCATTACCTCGTCTGTCACTGTTATATTGGGATAATTAGCTTGTAGATCAACGAAATGGTTCATAGACATGACCTAAGCAGTTACAAATGAGTGCTGCATGGGAAGTTAAAAGTAACCGTATGGAAACAGCACCATGATCATCCATCGGAGGCCCAATCCGTCCCCTACCCCTATCCATTCCCTTTCCAAAATCTCCAAATCCCTAATCCCCAAAAGGTCGACAACGCATTCGTAACTCCTCCGTCGTTGGAGCATAAAAAAACTTATTTATTTTTCCTGCCATTACAAAACATTTTTCTCAACTCATCTCGTTTTCTCTTTTGAAGTTTTTTATTTAACTATTATTTTATTCAGAAGTGTGTTGAAATCGTCTAATGATACACGTGTGTATTGATGATTACCGTCCTCGTCTCCTTAAGACTCAATGCGCCTCTGCAGTAATCACCAATTTTACACACTTGTACAATATGTGTTTAAAACCATAATGTACTTAAGACCTAATTTGCTTTGCGTTATAATAGTGAAGAAGTGTTTAACAATAACTTTGTTACTATAAGTAATTGTATAATAACCTTGTAACAATTATAAAGTATAAAAATAAATATAATTTTAAAGCTTCTTAGCACGCATTATTACAAACTGCGCCGGACACCTTATATTAACATTGAGTTAACAGATTTGGTAGTAAAAAAATTGTGGAACTAAACTACATGAATGTTTGAATAAATTATGATTTGAATAAATATCTAAATATTAACTTACATGTCTGCTCAATGTCCTGTGTGAGAGCTTTGAGAACAATATCTGATTTGGATGCCAAGTTTAGCAAATAGGGGATCACGTCCCGCTTCTTTTCTGGTTTACTGTCATCCCTGAGCGCTTCCTATAAATGAAATAAAACTATATGATTAAGATTGCTAAGGATATGATTAAATTAATGGCTTATGGTATAAGTACCTCTATGCTGCTTTTAGCAATCAATAGTATAACACTATATAAAAAAAATCTACATAAAAATAGTCCTTGATTTCATAAATTATTGCCACAATTCCTCAACATAGATTTTATTAACAATCTATTTATTTATCCTACTAATATTATAACAGTCTTAGTAGGAATATATTCTCATACGGTTTATTCTTTCACGCAAAAACAGATGAACTTTGGTACTTACGTAAATAGGTGATACCTGATTACCTGATTTAAATAACACATAAGTTACTTTTTATCCATCACACAGACAAGCCGCGGATGAAGCTAGTGTTGATAATTTCAAGAACTTACATGAAACAGATCTAAAACTGCGACTCGTACGTGATGAGTCGCCGGCGGATGATTGGCCAGGTGTGCTAAAACTGCTCTAGCGGCGTCTGCGCCCAGCTGAAGAGCTCGAGGCGCTACTAACGCCGGTTCAGCACGACCTACCCATCCTACAGCCCATGAACACGCCCAGGAGCCTGAAAAATTATCAATAATGTAAATAAATTGATCCTAAATCTATTAGATACACATACTGTAGCAAAAACCCAGTACTCAATATTTTTATTTAAAAACTGTGTAACTAAAGTACCATAAATATTAGAATGACTATGTTAGAACTAAGAAGATAATATAGAAAATGTTACAGGACACTAACAATGTTCAATGTTTTTAATATTAAAAGTAATTTCACTTTGGACAAATATAGACTTTAGCTGTCTGCAATTTTTATTTGTATAGAGACCTTTTATGATTAGTTTATATAATAATTGTTCAAACTATTCTATGTATGTCTTAAAATAATCATTACATATGAAGACATATATTTAACCTTTCGTTTTTTAAATTGCAGATGTTTTTTTTAAATTTAATGTATTTTAGGACTCCAGCACACTTTTCAACAAGCCACCTGCAGTTAGTAGTGCAATGTCATCAATCTCATGAAATCAAACAGTTAAAGTTGACTGAAACTTACCCAACATCATGTCAATGCATTTTGCCCTCTCTTCAGAGTTCAACAAGGTTAAGTTTTGTGTGGTGATATCCAAAAGAATTCTAACAGGATCTGCATTTTGGAGTGTTGTATCTGTAAATTAATAATATGCACATTTTATTGCATACCAGTCAACCTTGGAGATTCTTTAAAATTATTTAAAACAGTCTCATCTTAGCTGAAATTATGTGGATGCAATTTTTCTGTAGTTAGTATTAAAATTATATGTAAAGTGGTCAAAACATAACAACATGTTGCCTGACTACTATGAAAATAGTTTAAAAATGTAAGAACCTTATTTTTCACATGCTAAAAAATGATTAATATTATTTAAAACAGTCTCATCTTAGCTGAAATTATGTGGATGCAATTTTTCTGTAGTTAGTATTAAAATTATATGTAAAGTGGTCAAAACATAACAACATGTTGCCTGACTACTATGAAAATAGTTTAAAAAAGTAAGAACCTTATTTTTCACATGCTAAAAAATGATTAAAATTATTTAAAACAGTCTCATCTTAGCTGAAATTATGTGGATGCAATTTTTCTGTAGTTAGTATTAAAATTATATATAAAGTGGTCAAAACATAACAACATGTTGCCTGACTACTATGAAAATAGTTTAAAAATGTAAGAACCTTATTTTTCACATGCTAAAAAATGATTAATATTATTTAAAACAGTCTCATCTTAGCTGAAATTATGTGGATGCAATTTTTCTGTAGTTAGTATTAAAATTATATGTAAAGTGGTCAAAACATAACAACATGTTGCCTGACTACTATGAAAATAGTTTAAAAAAGTAAGAACCTTATTTTTCACATGCTAAAAAATGATTAAAATTATTTAAAACAGTCTCATCTTAGCTGAAATTATGTGGATGCAATTTTTCTGTAGTTAGTATTAAAATTATATGTAAAGTGGTCAAAACATAACAACATGTTGCCTGACTACTATGAAAATAGTTTAAAAATGTAAGAGCCTTATTTTTCACATGCTAAAAAATGATTAATATTATTTAAAACAGTCTCATCTTAGCTGAAATTATGTGGATGCAATTTTTCTGTAGTTAGTATTAAAATTATATGTAAAGTGGTCAAAACATAACAACATGTTGCCTGACTACTATGAAAATAGTTTAAAAAAGTAAGAACCTTATTTTTCACATGCTAAAAAATGATTAAAATTATTTAAAACAGTCTCATCTTAGCTGAAATTATGTGGATGCAATTTTTCTGTAGTTAGTATTAAAATTATATATAAAGTGGTCAAAACATAACAACATGTTGCCTGACTACTATGAAAATAGTTTAAAAAAGTAAGAGCCTTATTTTTCACATGCTAAAAAATGATTAAAATTATTTAAAACAGTCTCATCTTAGCTGAAATTATGTGGATGCAATTTTTCTGTAGTTAGTATTAAAATTATATATAAAGTGGTCAAAACATAACAACATGTTGCCTGACTACTATGAAAATAGTTTAAAAAAGTAAGAGCCTTATTTTTCACATGCTAAAAAAAGCAATAAGAAAGAACATAGTAACAACCTGCAAATGTACAGTATGGCCGCCATATCTTGGTGATTCTGAAGATAGCAGTTTGTTTGCGCAATACATCTTTCAGGAACAAAATTGTGTACTGTGCAGCTAATCGGCTAACATCAGACTCGCCAAGATATGTCAGCGGTATTATATATACGTAGTTTGTATATAGTTATAATTGTGTGGGTACGTGTCATGAGTCCCTCAAACTCCTATTAAAATCCTACAAGAGTTAATGCAAGTAAATAAAATTGTTTACTCACTTGGCACACTTGATTTCTTTGTAGCAATGTCCATAATCAGACTGATGCACCATGGAGCTATAAAAGGTGCCCATGACTGTCCCAAGCTACACAGCTCCGGTCCAATGATGCTGACACTCTCCAGGGATCCATTTGCACCAAGATCAGTCTAAAAAATCCAAAGACTTATGACTACTGAATAATAAATATAGAAATTAGTTTATTTGTTTAGCTTCTAATGATGATCAGATATTATTCAAACCTATAAAATTTCTGTGGCATTTAAAATCTATAGTAATTGGGCATTCACATCAACCTAGTTCTTCTATGCTAAAACTTTAGTTACAACTACAAGTGTAACAAGTGTGAATAGTGTGAGTGAACTATACAAATCTATGAATTTTAACTTTTTCGAAGGGTAGTCAGGAAAGGCTATCTTGTATTTGGAAGACTTGAATTTGTAAAAGCAACGCCTAATAATGCCGTAAAGTATACCGCAATTCGACCGGTACCCCGGGGGGTTTTAGGTTATGATGATTTACCTCGTAATCCGTCTGTGTGATAGAAACGTTGACGGCATCATGAAAGACCATAGCGAAATATTCCAACACAGCATCTCTAGCGGCTGGGAAGTTCTTGAGCAAACTTAGACCAGTTCTCGTCAACTCTGGCGCGTTCTGTGTGTTTCTTCTTGAAACGCCATAAATGAAATTATTTAAATCAACGGACAAAGCCGTTGACTTGCTCTGCGGGTTCATCACAGGAATTAATTATGATAAGGTTGATAAAGTAATGAAAATAAACAATTTCCGAGCCCAACGCACGAAGTCGCAACAGATGACAATATCATTCAAACATAATGACAGTGACATTTAAATTAAAATTCACCGTGACATTATGTTTTCGGTTTTTGGAAACGAGTCTTTTTATAATGCTATTGTAAACGCGAAAATAAATAATTAATTAATTACATTGTACAATAAATTTGAAGAAGCTTTGAAGAAGGTATGATGGTATTTACGATTAGGAAGCTTCGCTGTATGATGATATTTGCTAAGTTTTTGTTACTAGGACGCAAATAGATAAAAATATCTTTCAAAATCTCTGTTTCTAATATAACTCTCTTGTACTTTTTATTTTGAATGAATAAATTTTAAACTACTTTATAGTCTAACAAGTGCATGTAATATGTTGTTATATAATAGATTTACACATATATTCATTACGATAAATTTTACATAAAAGCCTCAAGAATACTGTAAATACATAACAATTTTATTTTATACTCACATGGTTTGTTCCATAAAAAATTAAAGTACCTTCTGCCCAAATCGGAAACCCAACGGTAATGTATATATTTGTATAATATAAAATAAATATACCGCTATTATATTTGTCTTATATTTGTATTATATTATATTTGTCGTCCAAATATATACCGCTATTATATTTGTCTTACAGATTATGTTTTGAATCGATCGATTTGACCTCTAACACAAAACCATCACGTCACTTCTTCTAAACAAAAAGTCTTTTTACAATAATAAATTGTGGGCGAGCTAAGCTTCGGCACGAACGGCTCGACCAGAGTGATACTACGGCCTTGCAGAAAACCAGCGTGAAATAACTGCAACGTTGAGTTTTGCCGTGTGAGTGAAGTTAACGGAGGCCCAATTCCTCCCCCTACCTCCATCCTTAAATATACGAAACTCTTATTCTTTACAGGCCGACAACGCACCCATAAAACCTTGGGTGTTGCGGACGGAAAATAACTTCTTTTAGAAAAGAAAGCAAAAACAAAAACAAGCAAAATTATAAAGGAAATAAAAATAACATTGCGCTTTTCATTCTCGAGAGAGCAAGCAGAGTTACATCTTTATTGATACTTCTTATCGATGGACAACTACTACCTACTCAGGTCCTCTATATTCGACAGCAGCCGCTTGCATCCATATAACATGACAGAGGTTTGGGTTGATGAAATAAAACTAAGTTTATTTATCAAATAGCAGAGGTGGAATTTATTATTTTACTTTAGGAGGTGTGTGTTGCCTGAAGGCGTTAGCAGAACCGAATGAGGGCGAGATGCAAACATCTCAGCGAGGGTTAGCTGGCCACTTAAGGCACTTATAATAGTGGCGTGAGAATAATGAGTAGATTGATTTTTGTTATTCCAACTTATGTAGGTACGTCGATACATTATGTAGAGGATTTATTTGTAGGTACCTACATGTACAGAAACAACAAAGCCTGAAATTAGAAAACTTCTATTCGTATCATAACTTAATTTAACTACAAAAATAAAATTAAGAGAGAACCCAATTATACCTATATGCTACCTATATTAAATCGAGTCTCCCATTTTCCTGTTCGTGAGTCTGCATGTGACGGCGACGCTCCACGTTTTAGAAACACGTGTTTACTGTTTAGATACAGTACAGGCACGCAATAAACAATATCGGTCTGAATCGGGAATATGTAGGAGCCATTCTCTGCCGTATAAACCTCATCGGTAAAATGCAAAATGTGTTTCGATACACTAAGCAAAAACAAATGCATTTTTACCAAATTCTCAGTTACGATGACGGTCTTACGTCACAAATGCTGGGATTAGCCCGTGGAATTCGCGCCGGTCATAGGGACTAAGAGCCAACATGGAACATTATAATCGTAGTTTGTTCACAGTATAGGAAAAAAAATTTGTCAACCTCATCAAAAAATATAAAGCCTAATGATATAAGGCAGATATTAGATAAACCTATCTGATATACTGAGGCAGGTAATGTATCTAGATACCTATTTTTTGATATTTACGAAAAAGCTTAGCATAATCAGTTACAGCTGAACAGCTGCCTCATTGGTCGAGTGCGCGCTATTGCAACTTCCGGCGTCGAGGTCACGGTTTCGATCCCCGAGCGACCGAGCGCCCATCAAGAAAAATAAAACTTAATAGAAGTTACTAAGTTTATTGTCCAGCATTAGATACTTATTTGGCAAGGAACTTGTATCATCGCGCATCGCCTAGATTCTTTTTCACGATATAGATTTTATCACGCTTTATATCATACGAAGGGATTGACCAAGTTCCAAATATAAAAATTGTTCAACGTTGCATTAAAATTGAATAAATCGGGTTTTTTAGATTTTCTTATCAAAAAATTTCTCACTAGACAATAGTAAAGTTTTAATTCGGTATTATCGTGTTTGCATATTATATTATTATTATGGGCCGGGCAATAATCGCTTCCTCTGAACTTGAATAAAATAAATTAGGAACGAAAGTGTTTGACATAAAGCTTTGTAAATAGTAATTGAAATTGGGATTGTTGGATGTGGTTGATATTTTCTTTATAAATGTTAGTAAAATTGCTAAAAATTAAAAAAAAGGTGCATCGGGGCTAAATAGCTACGCCGGCTATGTTTTGTTGTGTGACGTCTATTATGTACCTACATCGCATCATAGGAAGGGGGATGTAGTGTGGGGTCAGGAAAGAAATCAATAAATTGAGTGCGCACGCGATCCGCGCAAGCCCGCCCCACTACGCTACGATAGCATAAGACGCGGATAAAATATAACTACAATATTACAAACTACTTAATTGCAATTCTAATGAAAAAAGGACGTATTAAGTAATATTTAACATGCATAAACATATGCTATATATAACTTTAAAATATGTCACGCAGACGATCGATGCTGATTTTAATTACGAAAATTATCAAGATTTGTTATAATAATAATATTAATCGTAACAATATTTTAATACTCGTTAGAAAAAATACAAGTTGACAAATAAAGTGTTTTTCTATCTTAATTTTGGGTCGCGTGCCAAGTTTGAAAAATAATGAACAATTTAACGAAAAAATATTTAAATGGATATAAACACATTCACAAATATTAAGATCATTTAACAAAATATTTAATCGATTCGCTATATTATTAGGTACGGTAATCACTAATTAAGTAATAGAATATTTCCGCGAAACATTAACAAATCGGGGTGAACTTTTTATGGACTAATACAAACATAATTACTTATAACTAGGTCTTCTCTTCATCTCTTGCTTTACATATAAAATTAAATTTATCAAATTAATACATATAAAATTAAATTTATCAAATTTAATTTTATTATAAGTAATTGTAAGTACTAAAAAAAAGTATATCAGTCTTAATGCCCTTGTTACTACAGACACAAACATACCTATATAATTAAAAGCTATATAACTTGTCTTCGTATATAAAACAGTTTATGTATAAAAAATATACTTATTTTAGCGTAATGCATTCAACGTCAGCGTTCGCGTCCTTCAAATTCGACCACCCCTCGCTCCGCTATATAGATACACTACATAGGTATACCTACGATTAAAGGGATAGCGTAAAGCGTAAATATGTATTTAGAACGATTTCGTGCGTACTTTACTGTTGAATTTAAAGAATTTATAGATAGTAAGTAAGGTACAAGGTTTGGCTAGGATGCAAAGAACAAAAAAAATCTACCAAAAATAATTATAACGCTTTGTTTATGTTTTTAGTTATATACCTACATCTAGATAGGTACCACAGCGGCTCTTTGTTTTAGGATGATCCGTTGATTTTATACAGAATAACGTAGTTATGCTTGTCGGCCATTATCGGCTAATTAAAAAAATGCGGTAGGTACGGCATATTTTACAAAGGTATATCTAAGTACGTCGTGTATACGCCGAGTGGGGTGTTAGAGAAAAGGAATTCTTGGCATAAAAGCAATTTGCGCGTGAACAGGGTGGCGCGTTGGTGATGCAGAGTCAGGGCGGGCGCCGGTGGCGACCAAACGCGCCCCTCGCGATACGACGCAGGCGCGCGCCGCTAACCGACGCTCAGTTAGTTGGATCGATAAGATAAACGCGCAACCCCGGTCTACGAGTTAAATCAATATAATTTCTATCGATTTTTGCAGCCGCAGCCGCCGCACACCAGATCCGAGGGTCGCAAGCGGTGGGTGCGCGCACTGTGTTGTTTGAAAGTACTTAGATTATTTTCAAATTCGGTGATGATTTTTGTGAAAAGTCTATAATGTGTGTGAATCAATTTAGAAATATTGTCGACTTCGTCGATTGTTGGTGGTTTACGGTAAATATTCTCTTTTACGCTAAAGGTCAATGAACTTTAAGTTTAAAATTTAACAAAATAATCTATTAGGCTAAAAATTAATAATATGCGTTCTATAATTATTATACATTTGTAAATTTTATATACAGTATTTTTTAAAAGAAACAGTTTAAGTAAGATATAAATTAGTATTACAAATAAGTATTTTGTTCGGGTTTGTTTCTCTGACGTTTTGCCGTACCGCGCTACCGGTGAATGAGTAGGAAGAAAACTTGATGAAAACAAACAACAGTCGCATTAGTTTGTTATTGTTATGATTTTGACGACAATTTGGTACTTTATGATATTTAAAACGTCCTAAATATTGAAATATAATTTACGTGCTTTGTGTATACACTATTACTGGAAGCTTTACTATAAAAATCAATTAAAGGTGCGTGGGTGACTAACCTTGGGAAAGCTTCCTTTTCAATGTTTGAATGTTGCGTTGAATGACGTTATGCTAATTTTCAAATTGGATTAGAAAAAATGTAAACAATACATACAGAATATAAGACATGCGTGCATTTAGTACAAGTTGAACCTAAGACACGATTAAAAATGGGTTCTATTTTCTGCAGGTGGTGTGAAATGTAGATATACAAAACTAAAATGACGTCCACGGACACATACCAGTTGAAATGGCATTCGCACAGTTCACATCTGAACGGCTCCGTAGCGGCTTTGCTTCGCTCGGAACGATTCACGGATGTGGTGCTGTGTACCCTGGACGGGTCGCAGATACCGGCCCACAAGTTTATCCTGAGCTCGTGTAGCGTGTACTTGAGCAACTTGTTTGAAGGCCAGCGGTCGGTGACGCGCATGGGCGGAATGCTCTACGTCGTTCTACCTTCGGAGATATCCACGATAGCTTTGAAAATCCTCGTGGAGTACATGTACAAAGGTCAGCTAATAATTAAGCACTACTTTAAGTCCTTAACAACTTAAACAAATAAAAAATATTGAATGAAAGTTTGTGATTTGTTCAGACACTACTTGTGTACAATTTATTGAAGCTCTTGTTTCCTGCTGGTGTTTTGGCTGGTTATCATCACATCATTAGTTTCGGTCAGTGGGTAGCCTCAGGGGTGGATTTTAAGTCTAGAGTCATTGAAATTATTATTTTAATTTACTAAAAAATAATGTTACTATTTCTCAGTAATGTGGAATCAGTGCACTATTTTAATATACCGACTGACTACATAACAAAATTTAACAAATGTGATTTTGTTCATGATTTCAAATTGATGAGGATAATAAAATACAACTTCTAGCCTAAGCAATAAGTTAGCTGAATATATGAATAAATTATACATTTATTATTTATTTATAGTATTATTAAATATGATGGATATGCTTAACTCAACAAGTATAAGTACTATTTACAACAAGTACAACACTTAAAAATATTTTTAAAACAGCAAGTATTTATAAATAAATATATAATTGAGCCAGTGTCAGCTTATAGCTTATTCTTCCTCTTTGACCATACTTGTTGATATATAAGCAGAAGAATCAACTAATCATATTTTTCTAATAAAGTAGTCACTACTGGACATAAGCCATTATCAGAATTGAGCGTTATCAGAATAAAGCACATTATAATACAGGATTTAAACATGTAAATGAAAAATCACATTGAAGATAATCTAGTTTTATCTTAATAACATTATTCACTTTTTCAGGTGAAACTACAGTATCAAATGATGTCTTAGATACTGTGTTAAAAGCAGGAGAAGTATTGAAAATCAGAGGGTTGTGGAGACAGACTGATGATGGCAGTTCTGAAACTCTTGAGAAGGCAACTACCCAAACTATCACCACCACCAGTCTTGCCAAACCTGCTTTGGCTAAGAAGCCTGATGAGATATCCAGACAACCTAAGATAGCTGTTAAGAAAGATGATAAGTTACTGAAAGCCTTCAATCCTGGGCAACCAGGTGCTAGGTCAGTAGTACTACTGGTTTCCTTTGTGTATAAATATTTATTTTTATTTTATTGAATCTGCTTTCTTGTCAATAATTTTCTGTTGTTACCCCAATGGGGTTGGTAGACAATGTGGAGAAGAATGTGTTGGATGCTTTAAAAACCAATTTTTAATTTAAGTTATAAAAGAGCTTTAAATGTTAAATAATCTACAAGACCCAGAAATGACCTAAAAGTCATACTTTTTCATAAAAAAAAAATTTTGTTTCAGACCAATGTTCATTGGGCCTCCAAAGCTAGTGTTTATAAAAACAAGTGAAGGTGGTGCGCAAGCAGCGATAAGGCCGGGAGGTCCGAAGGGGCAAACGATCCTGGTTGCTCCCGCGCCTACTGCCGAGCCTACCGTCGCGGTCGCAACTGCTACACCAACTGCGACCTCAACTCCGGCCCCAACCACTGTCACAGTCGCTACCACCACCGCCAGCGAGGAATCGTCTGACGAACCACTGACGCCTAGAATCTTGAGACGACATACTGAAAGGAAATATGGAAAGAGGCAAAAGACTGAAGTTAAATCTGATGAAGATATGAAAGATGGTGAAGAAACCCAGGATTCTGAAACATCAAGTAAGTTAAACTATGATGTGTCTATTAAATAGGTAATTTCAAATATTTTATTTTTCCGCCATCTTCGTTGTTGCTGTCTAGTAGAAAGGTGGTATTACGAATGGTAACATGTTTACTAGGCATTGCTTAGTAAATTAAGCTAATAATCATTCACTATTCAATCTTTTATATAAAACTAGCGGTCGTCAGCGGCTCCACCCGCGTGGATGCCGAATTTTCACTTTTTCAAGTTCCCGATTCAGTTTCCCCAATGCAAAACCGTGGAAAACGGTTCGTGCTTACTGGAGTTACAGCGTCAAGAAGGAAAACCCGACTTATTTTTATATAGTAGATAAACCACCTGAATATATTTCCATCCATTAGGCACGATTATGGGTCGCCTATAAGTATTGAGACATTACCAAACCATACAAATGTATGCCTGACATCATTCACTCGACTATCAAAATTGCGCAAAAATTAATACAAGCCTTTTTACTTTTCCAAAGAAAAATCGGGGCAAAACTTGGAGAGTGAAGTACAAATAAAAGATGAGCCGGAGTGGGACGCCAGCAGTATCGAAGAGGAGGAGCGGTCTATCGCTGAAATGTTCCAAGCTGAGATGAGTGTTAAAAGCGAGCCTACAGACGAAGTTGATATTGAAGAAGAGAGTTTGGTAAGTTTAATACCTACATAAAATGCGCTTTTCTTGACGATTTACAGAACCTCCAAAAAAGGTGTAACTTATATTTTATACCTACTTACAAAATGCCAGTATTGCTATAAGACTGGTCATGAAGCATGAAGCTGCAAATTTGATTTCATACATCAAACCTGATATTAGGTTTTTTGCTCTTTTTTTTGAACTTCTGTAGTTAGTAGACACTTGTAGGAACGAGAGATTAATATTTGCTTTTCTGTTTTATACGAGTAAGAGATATCCGAAGCATCTGACTAACTATGTAATACTAGAGATAAACAGCAGCCTCTTTCAAACTGTCAGTGGCGTGACTGTGATCCAAAAGCCGGCTGCAAACCGTGGCATGGTCGGCCAGTTGTGGGTGATGCGGATAGTAATGTAGTTATATATTTGCAGATCTACTCCCCGCTGGCGTGCGAGCTGTGCGCGGAGGTGTTCACGGTGCCGGCGGCGTGGGTGCGCCACGTACAGGCACACGCGCGCACCGACACCACGCACGCGCGCAAGCGCAAGCTGCGCTCCGCTGTACGTATACTTATACAATACACACATGACATATTCTCATTTATACGGTTGCGGGATCCACGATCCTAGATTCATGTCCCTGGGACGCGCCGGACTTCAGTGTTCCGGTGTTTTCATGGTTATATCTACTGTAGACCCTGGCTAACAGGAGTTGCAGCCGTTTTGGGAGGTTGCGGCGGGCTTGTCCCATATAAAAAACAAACTTACTGGCTGCACTCATTACTCACCACCATTTTAGCCAATATTATGATGGTAGTTCTCTGTATAATCACAATCGAAAGTATGCAAAGCTATTTATATAGCTCTGCATACTTTCTTTCACATTAGAAGATTAGATTATTTTACTTTTTCTGATGAGTTCTTACTGCTAAATATGTATCGTCCTTCGTAAATTCCGTGGTTATGGTATTTGTAACTTTCTTTTCAGTTTAATAGAATATTTGATATTTTTGGTGGTACCTACGTTATCTACAATTTTTTAATTTGATAAACCCAACAATCGTTTATCTTTATGTTAATTCGTCAAACCCCAAGCGACAGCCGGCGTTCGCGGATTTATTGTACTTCTATTATCTCGAAATACCACTATTGAAGACGACTAAACATGATTCTTGATTTTTTTTTCCTTAATCTTCAGAGTGATGATACCGAAGAAACAATGGCCCTCCTTCGTTGCGATCTCTGTCAGAAACATTTCCCGAATCCCGCAGAATGGGTGCGACATATACAGAGCACACACACTGAAACAGGTGAGTTCTAGAAAATTCATACTATTTAAACTCCTATGAAGATATTGTTATCAAATAATAATGTGACTGAAAATGTATGCTCGCAAGTTCATTAATATTTTTAAGTTTAGCTAGTAAGGAATACGAGAGAACACAGTCATTTAATGAAAAAATATCTTACTAGTACCTAGTTACTTGTATCATAGATGACCACAAATTTAAAAAAAAAACATTGAGTAGTAGGTTCCTAAGATTTAATTATCTTTGCCCATGAATTAATTAACTTGCGTGTGGACTGTGTAATGGGTATGAAACTATTTAAGCAAACTCTTATAAAATTTTACAGATTAACAAGATAAAGTTAAATTGACATTGGTTTTGTTTTGCTACATGAAAACCTTTTTTTAATTTCCTATGAAAAATCTTTATTTGTGGGTATGAATCCGCGAGCGATTTTATTGTAAATTATTAAATTATAATATCAGTCATTATGCCTCTCTGATAGTGTCCGCAAGAAACAAGGATTCTTGGGTTCGATTCCCGGGTCGGGGTAGGAGTAGCAAGATTTCGGCCTCGTTTGTATTTATTTTGTGGTGCTATTAAATAATTTTAAAGAAGTAAGTGTTACATGTCATATGTGTAACGTTTGTGCCTACTCATTTAAGAAGTACGTGATTTTTTAACAACACGGCCCGGCCGGCATTTATATGTAGGCATACAAAAGGAATTCAGTAAACCAATTGCCTGTAGAGATGAATGTCTGTAGTTAGAAATTGTATTCGCGAATATAAATGAGGTGCCATAAAATTAGCAGTCGCAAATTAAATATGACTAATTGTTTATTTTTCCTTTGCTTCCCCAAAACTTACAAGCAATGGTATCTTTAGGAACCATTATTATATCCCAAATATGAACTCTAGCCGAAATTTGTTTTATGTAATAGGCTAATTCTCGACAAACGAACATCCTGTCGCCTTTAGATTTTGTTTTTTTTTTATAATTTTTATTTTATTTTATCTTCTGCTGTACCCTTACACTGTAGATAACAGGCGGACTGCACTTAGGCTTAAAGTAAAACACAACAAAGTGGAATCATATGGCTCAAGGCACTTTTGGCTTTATAAAATATTTTTACACTACAAATGCATGCAATAACATTATCATGTAGGTTATTCAGTAGTCAAGATGCAGTCCGTCTGTCTATGCTAAATAACCTATGCTTACGATACACTATTTCTTACACCAACCCCGCTACTCATGATAATCACTTCAGTTATGATTTATAATTAAAATGTAATTGGAATGCTTTGTTTGCTTATAATTTTGCTCAACTCATTTATTTGCCATGACCAAACAAAGCGTTGCATATTGTGTGATTGTCTGCCTGACTGAACCCTGTTCTAAATGTTCGTTCGATGTCGATTGTCTAGAATTGGCCATATCAAACAACAGTGCCCCACCAAAACGTCACAATCGTTTCACAGAGGGCGCGCAAAACAAGAGTTGCACGCAATGCAAGAAAACATTCCCGTCCCACGCATCGATGCTCATACATATGCGTACACACACAGGTAAGTACAGATTGCTCTTTTATCAATGATAGGCTAACAGAACAGATAAATTAAAAGAGACATGTTGCAAAATAATTTCCCTATTTTTCACGCATAAGCACTAATCAATTAAAGATTGGTAAACAAAACTACAATGATATCTATCTGTAAAAAGCTTCAGACTTGGTATAATTTAAATCTTCACAACCATAGAAAAGTACTTACTATTACTTACCTGCTTTACATAAAGTAAAGCGAGTATTAAAGGCCTGTAATAGCTCCAGCTCCAGCTCTCATAAATGAAATCATACACGCAACACATCACGCCTTTTTGTAAAGAGAGTTAGGCGAAACCCACATCACACCAGTCTTGCGTCGATATTATAATAATTTTTAAATAAAACAAAAAACGATAGTTTGCCCAACCGTAGTAGCCACAATTGCAGTAATTTCATAAAGATCAATCATATTTATCATTAATAAGCTACAAGAAAATTAAACAGAAAATTAAAGAACAGAAAATTAAAAGAAACATGTTGCTAAACTAATAAATTAAAGATTGGTAAACAAAAACTACAATGATATCTATCTGTACAAAAGCTTCAGACTTGGTATAATTTAAATCTTCATAACCAAACATAGAAAAGTACTTACAATTACTTACCTGCTTTACATAAAGTAAAGCGAGTATTGCCTGTAATAGCTCCAGCTCCAGCTCTCATAAATGAAATCATACACGCAACACACCACGTCTTTTTATAAAGAGAGATTCGTCGTCGTCGATATTATAATAATTTTTAAATAAAACAAAAAACGATAGTTTAACCCAACCGTAGTAGCCACAATTGCAGTAATTTCATAAAGATCAATAATATTTATTATTAATAAGCTATTAATAATTTTCACTTTTTACAGGTGAACGCCCATTTGTTTGTGGACTCTGCAACAAAGGTTTCAACGTGAAGTCTAATTTGTTACGACACTTACGAACATTACACGACCAGCTCATCAGTCCGAGCGGAGTGGACGATGCCGAGGAAGAGGAAGTAACGCCGGGCCCTTCAGAGGTCAAGCGAGAGTCCTGAGGACGTGGAGGGGGGGCAGGTAAGATTTGACGGACAAGAGATAGTAGCAAATACAGTTGCTCTCCTTGTACAGATTTAATAACTCAATATTTAATAATTTCTCCTTTCAAAGTTTATTCTTTTGTGTGTTTTATAGGTAGAGGGCGCGGGCGTCGTGCTTATACAGCAACAAGCGACGCAAACCGCCGCGCCGCTGAAAAGAAAAGGCAGACGGACAACGCGTCACCGTCTAATGTACCGCGCAAGCAGAGCTATTCGCTCTTCTTGAAGCAACGCGCGGTACTATTTTCTGCCAAAAAGTGGAAACAGTGAAATTTGGCATGGCGACTTGCTATAATACCTTCATTAATTATATCGTCGTGTTTCTTTATACTCTTGTTGAGTTTCAAATTACTAACAGCAATGTCGCCAGCCATTTATTCATTGACTTTTACACCTGCCCACCCTCCTCCAAAATTACGGTTAATTTGTATTTGACTATTTAATATTGAGTGATTTATTTTTTGTAATCCCCTAGTTGATTATATTTTAAGTACCTCGACGTCTAGTCATATGATAAATAATTATAAGACTTTAATATTGGCTAGCATTGTAAGTGGTCACCAAATAATATTAAGCCAGAGGTGTCAAGATCTCAAGTTGAGTCAAGCAAGATTTAAGTTATAGAATTAATAATTAAGTTTGAAGTGTATTACTAAATTAGCAGTGGGCATTTCTTATATATCTTGTAAAATATTATTTGAATGTTAGTCACATTACTACCCCAATCCTTTAGTTAATTTGGCAGGCACAAATTTATTATTTGCAATCTTAAACAGTCATTTAGACAGCATCCATGTTGTTATAATTCTACAGTAAGGTCAAGAGATATTATAATAGATTTGATGCTGAAATTTTAATGAAAATACTTGGGAATGTTTCAGTGATGCATGCTAAGTATAATAAAGCTGTTTTTTTTGTCAAATACATTTATACATTCCAGTATCGCGCCATGTGTTATGTGTACTATTAGTATTTACTTTTACTATTATATTTTTTTAGACGTAAGGATGATTTTAATATATAAAATATTCAAGTATTTAAAAACTGCGAAGCTTTAAGTTCAGCATTCCATTGTGTTAGAAGTGATTATTTATTTTGAATATCCATTGACAATTAGTATTTTTATTTTATGGTAATACAATACTCATGTGCAACATGATGCTTTTTTTTTGTAATTTGATAATGTGGCAAATAAAGTGATTTATGTCAACTTGTCTTTTTACTTTAAAAGTTAAACCAAAGTTGAAGACAAAATGTATTTATTGGTATGTACTTACAAAAATATTATCTATCACAAGTTTTCAGCAATACACACAGTGTATGAAATTATAGTATTGAGAAATTGGTATGTAATGTAACATGATGTTGGAAAAAGTGTGTGGAAAACATATACAAATAACACATAATTAACTAGTTCAACTATCTTCTTCCTCAATCTTGGGTGCCAGGTAGTAGCGAATGTGACCAATGTCTGGAATGCGGTACTCAACCACAAGTGGTACATCAGCAGACATTGAGAGTTGTACCTGAAATGAAGGAATGTATTTTATTAACTATATGATCTCTTAGCAAACATGATAGGCAGATAATGCAAAACAGATGTAAGTAGTTCCTTCAACTATGACATTTACCTGTGGACTGAGTGATGTAGCTTTAGTGAAGTAATTGAGATACTGGCAGGCGAATGTAAGAGTGACTGGCTCCTCCATCTCAATAACAACAGCCTCCTCCTCCTTATCAATTGACGCTGTTTGCGCTAATTTGATATTGGCTGAGCCAATGTCACCAGTGGCTGAGAACTTGACTCCTGTTGGAATAAAACAAAGTGAATATTTATGGATGAAATTGGTAAAGAGTATGTTTGGTATATAGATTTCTGGACATTTGTCTAATAATAAAATAGTAAAACGAATATCTTCTGAAACTGTATAAAAAGTGTAGCCATTCTTACCTTCTTTTGTGCAAGATATGACCATTGACTCTCCAAATTGTGAGAGATCACGGCAGATTCGCGCGAATTCACCACTTGGTAGTCTGATGGTGCAGCTGTATTCAGTCTCAGGAATTCCTAAGGAAACAAGCAACGATTAAGAATTAAAGAAAATTGATTAATAAACAATGCTGTCATGGAACAAAGATAAAAAATATTAATTCTTAACTCACCCAAATGTTCAAGATCCAAGTTCATAAGCTTCATCTCATAATCAGACACTTTCTCTTGGTTTGGACTCTCAAACACAAATGTGACTGTGTCTGCATTGTCCTGGGCCTTAATTGTTACTGTGTCTTTGTCACCAGCACACTTGAGAATCTTTGACATACTATGAAAAAAAAAACATTAAACTTGAGTCAGTATTCACAATTAATTAACCTTTGTACAGCTCTTGTATGAGACAATAGAAAATATTTGTGTCCTGCTTACATGTAGGATATTATTTGGATTCAATTCTTATCTGATTTACTGACATCTAATATTCAGATAAGTATTTAGATAGCATTAATAGATTATGGTTAGTCTCCAGCTATGCAGAAATACATGATTTTACAGTCTTAACTAAATACCCAAAGAATGCCAGTGTACCTGTACTTCTACTGTCTCAAATTACAACAATTGAAAGGTGCTATAATGAATCAAATGTGAAAGATAAAAAGTTTACACTCATTAGATGCATGTATGCATAGTACAAACATTTAATTATTATATTTAATAATTGGATAAAATTGGTGTACTACCCTAACTATAGGGGAATCATTATATTACTAATGGAAAGTTGTTATGTTCATTTTTAACTACCTCTTCAAGGACAAAGAACAGTGGTCTCTTTTTAAATAGTTTTTGTAATTGAAATGCAATATGTAAGCTGAATTTAATATACATACCTTCCTAGGTTCATGCCCATAGAGATATTCCTATCACATCTATATTTATCGAAGCCATCAGCTCTGAGTGTAAGGGAAACCAGAGACACATGGGAGTTGTCCATTGCCTGTAACAATAAAAAACATAAGTCAGTGATTTTGACCTAAGTCTTAGAAGAGAAATGCCTAATATTTTAAACAATAGAGTACCTACAAATAGTGATAAAGTTACAGTTTAAAAGCTTTGTGTTGGGAAGGCAATTGTGCTGTCCATACCTGCAATTGGATCCCATTGTCGTCGCAATCAAATGTGGCCTGTGTAAGAAGATCCTTGATTGCTTCCAACACTTTCTTCAAAATGGAACTGCGGAGAAGACGCGCTTCGAACATTTTGATCTGAAATTTTATTCAAAGTTTTTATAAGGTTATGTAGGTAATTTTGAAATCTTTCAGACAGTACTTCAGAAGAATGATAGCTTAGACACGAGTTACAACTTGTTAACGAGTGAGGTGTAACTCTAAAGTCAATCTATGATTTGCCGTGAAAATAACGAACTTCTGATGTTAGCGTCTTGACAATAGCAAATTAGAAAACATTAATTTGAAAACCACAGTAAGTAATACTAACTAACTACACTTTTAATACTTACATATTGATTTATTCACAATATAGTAAATTATAAACTAACAGAAATAAGGCACGATGCGTCCAAGTCGCTGACCTCAAATTGACAGACAAACTGAATGTGACAGCCGGCCGCGGGAAAAAATGGCGCGAAAAGGAGAAACGTCATTTTTGTAAACATCGAACTACATTTCATGATCTGTAGCAATAGAAAAGAAAGGTATATCAATGATTATATGAAAGAAAAAGACAGCAATACATTTATGCTATATATTACTTTACTCTTTGTATATTACTGGACAAACAACATCACCATCGTCACGGATTTTTTCTTTTTAAAATAATATTGTACAATTGTAATTTGGCGTTTTTGGAAATTAGAGTAGGTACTCCCTAAAGTATTAAAACTATTTATCTTGAAACGAATCTGATAAAATATTAATGATTATATTCATATATTGCATTTATTATTATTTGTATGTTCGTTTCCGTTCACGGGATCACAGGATCCCGGACCTTTGGCAGGCGTACGAGGGGCCGAAGCCAACTCGCAGAGGCCCGTTGAACAAGAACAACTTTAATATAAGTGAAATGGGACATCTGCCGGCAATTATCCATGTATGCTCTATGAAAGTGCACCCAAGGACAATTCCCTGTTGATGGAGGACTATTGCGAAATGTGGTAAAAATATATAGGGTTATGGGTATGTGTTGCTATGGACTGGCAGATATGATAACTATGGAAATACTTTGCATTTATTATTATTATGTATGTCTTTACCAATCACGGGACCACAAGGTCCCGGTCATTTGGAAGGCGTACAAGGGGCCGGAGCCAACTGCGCAGAGGCCCTTTAGACAACTTTAATCTAAATGAAATTTGACACAAACTGTCGACTATCCCTGTATGCACTATGGGAATGCACCCAAGGACAGTCCCCGGGTAGTGTAGGACTATTGCGGATAATGGAAACAAAATACAAGGCTATGGGTGTGGGTTGCTATGGGCTAGTAGGATTGGAACTATGGAAGGACTATAGCACCTGCAGAAACAATGTAATTTATACACGTAAAAATGGCAGGTGGAGACTCGCCAACTCACCGACCGGACCCCCGGGAATGGTTGCTAGTAATAGCAACAGAGGCAACGGAAATGTGAGTGGCTGAAGGGTGAAGAAACTGCCACCATCTTTCTACTCAGATCATCTGCATCTGCCTAAGCATCCTGCATCACTGGCCACTCGCCGCTTACGAACAGCTTCCACCCTGCGAGCAAGATCACTACTCTCGCGACTCCACTCTGGACGGCCAAAGAAAGCAAGCCAGAGGTGGGAGACCTGTTCCTCGTCATCGTTTACTCCGACCAGCCAATGAAGGCAAGCCGGAGATGAGGAACGGTGACTCCTCCTTGGAGCAATAAGGATGATGGTAGCCCGCGGGATCGCTAATTCCCGTCACCTCGCCTCAAGGCGCCCTGCGGGCATTAATATTTTAGTTTGACCACCTTAAATGTGTCGGATGCAACGAATTTTGGGTGCCTGCATTTAAGAGCAGAGTCAGTTATTTTACTTATTACACTTTGCTGTCTCCTTCCAAGTAGAGGGCATATGCTAAGGGCGTTAGTCTTATACAGGAATTGAATTATTTTTTGACAGTAGTCGGAAAGTAAACTTCGACCATCGTATTATGGTGACCAATTGACACCAAAAAAAAAAAAAAGTGGTAGACGTGAAATCCTCATGGAGACCCACCACCCCCGGGGGGAAGGGCGAAGGGTACTGTCAGACTCATACTGACTAAAAACCAACCCGGTGTTCCTCCACTTACCCATGTGTCGGAGGGGCGGGTATCGCCGAAGCATTCGTCGCATCCCCCGACGACGTATTGGCCCGCCAGATGGTTAGGCGGGCCCCGTCACCCACTGCGGCCGTCACCCCGACCGCAGGACTCCATTATGAGGCGCGCGCGAAACACGGCGCCGCCGCCTCGAGGACTGTTGCTGGTCGGACGACAAGACGCCCCGAGTCTGTCGTCCGCAGGCCGCACCCTACGGTGGCCGCAGGTCGGCCACCCTACGACGTCTAGTGCGTCTGCTGCGGGAGGGGAGAGAGCCGCCTCCTTTGTGAGCATCACGGCTTCGCAGAAGGTAGCGACGGCTCCACCCTGACTCGCTCCCGACCATAGTAGACACTACAGCCGGAAGCGAGAGATTTCCCGCAGCACCTACTGCCGCGACCAGGTCACGGCGCTGCTCGGCCCAAGCTGGGCACTCCACCAAGGTATGCAGCGCCGTATCATCGCGGCAATCACCACAATGGTGGCACTGAGACGTCAGCTCCCGACCTATGCGACACAGGTACTTCCCGAAACACCCGTGTCCAGTGAGCACCTGCGTCAGCCGGAAACTGAGGGCGCCGTGGCTCCTACTGAGCCACTCCTCTAGACAGGGCTTTACAGCCGCTATAGCGGCGTGCCCCGCCGTGGGTTGCGCTAAACGCGTCTGCCACTCCGCCACTAAGGCCTGGCGGAGTTTTGCGTCGAGGTCCCAGGGCGGGGATCCGGCTAGGAGGCTCGCTGCCTCAAAGGAGATCGTACGGTATCCCCTTATTATCCTGACAGCCATCGCGCGCTGTGGCCTTCGCAGCGCGGCGATGTTACGGGCCGTCAGGGCGTCCGCCCATACTGGCGCGGCGTATAACGCCATCGACCGTACGACCCCCATGTAGAGCCTCCGGCAGGAGGAGATGGGCCCCCCCTGGTTGGGCAGCAAGCGCGACAGCGCAGCAGCGGCGCTCATCAACCGGGGGGCGACCATGTCTACCACTCAAATAAGGGATTTAATAACTGTCAACTTGGACAACTGTAACAAACAAAAAAATTGAGCAAGATTGGATTGAACCAAGGTTTAAATTGTTACCCAGTAACAAATGATAAATACAGATTAAATGGAAGTTACAAAAAACAATTGAAAAAAATATGTATATTAAAAAACTCTACACAGTCATAAATAAGGGTAGGTGTATACACAATGTACCAAATACCATAGTGATAAAAAGAAAACAATTTTATTGCACCATTATTTAGTTTTAACAAGAGAGCAGCACCACTTGGTCTTCACATGGGTATGGTGGTAGCCTTAGGAAATATTTTTGCAAAATACCAGGTGGCAAAAATCTTCCTCCAAGGTAATGTTTGGCATCCAAAATGAATTCACTCTGGGCACACATCTTTGGTGCTGAGAGAGATATAAGAAGAGCAGGTTTGAGTGCTTTACCAGTACCTGGACCAGTTTCTACATGCCATCCACTTGGAATATCCACACTAAAACATAAAATAGTAAATATTTTAATCAATAAAAAGGGTTAACAATGCAACAAGAAGTTGAGAAGTTATTCAAATGTATGATTGGACATATTAAGGAAAAACTAGATATAAATTGTCATTTCCAGTCCCAATTCAAATTTACCTGCAAACTGGTATAGTAGCTTCAATCAAGGCATTCATGGCTGGTTTGAGTTCTTCTCTCACAGGAGGTTTAAAGCTAAACCCAAAGAGGGCATCAACAAGCACTTGGTAGTGGTCACACAGTTCCTTTGGTGGTGGCAGATTGTCCACTATATCTACTCCAAATGCTACACATTGTGACAACAGGTTTTCATATAAGGGCTTTGGGGTGCGTTTTGGATAGTGTACTGAAACATTGTAACCAAATAATGACATGTGACGAGCTGCCACTAGTCCATCTCCTCCATTGTTACCAGGTCCACATATGATTAATGCTGATGGATGCCTGAAAAAGAAAAGATTTATGTAATGTTGTATGTTATTACTAAGTTACAACTACAGAATTTGTAAACATAGGGATTTACTTAATAACTTTTTGTTTCTTTTTGTTTAATTAACAGAGGTGATGTAATGTAATGTATGTTAATTAACAACTCACGTAGACACTGGAAAAGTGCGTGAAACAGCCGTAGCGACACTGAGCCCAGCGAGTTCCATCAGCTGATCTACACTGAACTTGTATTCATTAAATAAATCCTCGTCTAAAGCGATAGCTTCCTTCTGTGTTAAGTATCGCAGGCGCGTTGTGCTACACTGCTTAGGTCCTGCGGGCAACATACTGGTACCCAAAACGTTTGATACACGCAGCTAAAAATAAATGAAAGATATTAAAAATTGAAAAGTTGATGTAAGAATGAGCCGGCAAAAAGTAGATCATACCAACAACCCACTACTTATAAGCCGAAAAAACATTTAGATACCTAAACGTAAAACTGGGTTATTAATTATTATACAGATAAGTTCAGTAACTCTTGTTGTTAACTTGTTACGGAGTGTTATTGATAATGTTATGTATGGTATGTTTTATTATTTTTATAAAAACTCACTCGGTGTTTGTGAGAATGACACTGACAATTTGACATTGACTTAAAACTGTACACACTACACTCCAGTAGTGATGTCTGTACTCTGTAGTCCTGCAGTGAACAATGATAAATGATAGTAGGTTTGCTTCATCTATCATCAATCAAATATTTATTTAACTCTGATATGTTACATTGTACATACAAGTGAAGTTACAATGCTAATGAAAGGTTCACATCACATACAATCACACAACGCAGGATCAACCTTGAACTTTTTTTTTCGTGAAACGAAGTCTCCTCTAGGATGTCTGTCGTGTTGACATTCTTATTTGTTTGACAACTTGACAGAGTATTGTCATTTTGGTTTTTCGTTCATCCGTCACAAAAATGGCTGCGCTTAGAGTATTCAGTCGTAATTTACCGTATTTACGACAGCAATTTTCTGCTTTATTAGGAAACACGTCGCCATCGGTGAAATTCATTTGTGTAGTAGTTATAATAGGGTATATACTATCATTTTCCGATGATGTTGTGGACGTTCTCAGTGTCACTCCAGGGTATTTGTTGCCACCTTCTTTCCAACTGTGGTCTACTTTCACGTTCTGGTTTCTCGAGATTCATTTGTGGGAGGTGATCATCGATATTGTGACAGTGGGACTATGTGGGAAACTAATAGAACCGTTATGGGGTCAGATGGAAATGATGAAGTTTTTCTTTCTGACCAATGTTGGTGTTGCATTTCTAACAACATTCTACTATCTAGTGATATTTGCGTGTACAGGACAGACGTCCTACTTGTTTGATATTCATGTACATGGGCTGGCGGGTTACCTGGCAGCCGTGAGTGTTGCCGTAAAGCAGATTATGCCAGATCATTTGCTGATAAAAACACCATTAGGTGCGAATTGTTTTATTAGTATTTATGTTTATACTGATTTTAATAATATCATGCAAATGCTAAAATGTAGCAATTATTGACTGAATAATACCCTGCTCCTAAAATATGCAATCATTAGTTACTCTCATTTGAAATAATTCTCATATGAATTGAGTATTAAAATATATACATATTGTTTCTGATTATAACAAATAAATAATCTCATCCAACATCATTAATCATTGAGGGTTAATTTGATGTTTCAGGGAAGTTAACAAACAGATCTATGCCCCTCCTGATTTTAATAGCAGCTATTATTCTTTGGGCTATTGGAGCATTGGAGGGCACATACCCATGCATGTGGGGCAGTGGAACAATACTCTCCTGGATTTATCTGAGGTTCTGGCAGAGGCATAGCAGTGGCACAAGAGGAGACATGGCTGATAATTTCAGTTTTGATAAGTAAGTTGTTCATTTTAATCATTTAATCAATAACATTGCAAACTAAGTGCTCAACAACACAACACCATTAAAAAAAATTATTACACATTCAAAACTATTTATTCAGTTGTGTCTATAGATAACTTGTAACAAGATGTAATATTGAGAAACAAAACTTGGGATTGTAAATAAATACTTCCAAGAATTCATGGATGAATGTTTTGTATTTGCTGCAGATGATTTCAAGTGTTGCAGAAAACAATGGGATGTTATTCCTTCAACACTTTATTGTCTGTCATACCTTGAACTTGAGTGAATAATTTGCTGTAATCAATCAATAAACAATAAATGAGAATGAAACTCAGTAACACTTTGAAATCTTTCAATAATAATCTAATCACTTAAGGAAATGGTTTAATACAACAGCCATAGATAAGGGCTTATTTGTTAGCTTTTTACGAGATGGTTGGTTGTGGTGTCATATATTATGTGAATTATTTTGTGTTATAAGTAATGGGTAACATTTCATCACTTTCTTGTTTTCAATACATTTCACATGCTCTTTAGTCACAAGATACATTTAGTAATGAGGCATAGATGATAAGGAACAATATAATTTATACCTCCCATCATGTCCTCAGCCTTTAAGTGCTCACTGCTGACAAAACACCTCTCATACAGAGAAGGTACAAGTATTTATCACCATTCTTGCTTAAATGGTGGCAGTGGTTATTTCAATCTAATAATTGGGAATTATAAGTCAGTCCAGTTAGAAAATAACAGTTAATCGAAGAAAACTGATGAAGTAAAGATATAAAGAAAATCAATGTTTCTTTTGTAGTTTCTTCCCCACGGTCCTACAGCCAGTGGTGCGAGGAATTCTGGGGCCGCCACATCGTTGCCTGGTGCGACTCGGCATTTGTTCACCAAGCCCTCGTCGCGTGCATCTTGCTCTCAGTCCTAGAGGCGTCACCATTTCAATGCCAGGTGTTGAGCCACAAGACATGGAGAGACGGAGGTAAAATGTAAATTTAGTTTTCTAAACTAAGCTGACTGTGTGTAATGATTTTAAGTTATTCATATTGAATTATTTCCAGACAAATCGCGCTCAAAGCTTTGAGCGAGAGATTATCCAAGACTTCCGAACAGACGCGACAAAAGAATCTTTCGACCAAAGTGAATATGGATGCCGTAAGGAAAGTACAGTCACAGGTGATACCACAGTTCCCGTCTGAAACGGCCACATCAAGCCAGGCTGCGGCAGCACCGCCCGAGGCTACGCTGGTAGACCTTACTGACCCCGTCCCGCCCACTACGAAACAATCATGATCTTCAAAGATTTAAACACTACAACAAAAGGCTGTTCACAGAACCAATGTAGAAATAGGTATGGTTGATTTTTAAGAGTGCTTGACGATCTCAGACACGGAAATTCCATGTAATGATAGATGAAATTCACTATATTTATGAAGTTTGTCAATTGGTATTTGTAATTAACTAATTAATAGTTATGAGCATTTCATGTAACAAATTCATGTGTTTCAGTAAATCACATGGTAAATGTGCATTTTGATTTGATAGTTTGTAAGCAATAGCATTTCTGCAATGGCACTGTGAATTAATACGAAATAGTATTCATTATATTTTTCTTTATAAAAATCCAATAGTAATGGTTACAGTTGAATGTATGGGGTGTAAAAAGTAAATATTTTTTGCAGATTTTATTGCATTTGTTGATTGTGTCTAGCTGAGGAGTGTGAAAGATGTGACATATTGTAAATATAATTGATATTGAATAGTGTTAATTAATTAAATAAATATCTAATCACTTAGTTAAGATTTTTATTGTATTTTCTTCGAATTCCTTACAAAATTTTGAAGTTTATTGAAATCAGATCATAAATAGAACAAGGAATTTATAAGTCTTATTGAGATACTAGAGAAGTAAATATATATATTATTCTATTTACATACTTAAAATTCTGGCAACACATACCAGGTTATGCAGATTTACATAAAGGCACTGCTTATAACAATATCTGGCATTAATATAGCGAGTTACAGTTGAAACATTGCACTTTACAATAAAATAACAGTAATTAGCCAGTAAGTTGGCAATCTAGGGTACAACAATACCCTAAATAAAGAGTAAATAAATTTAACATTACATATATTTAATCTAATATACAGAATCTTGGTGGTATTATTAGAGGAAGTAAAAAAGAAAATATAATATACTATACTGTTGAAAAAAATACAAATACAATATAGGAATTCTCTGACCAGTGTATCACTTGGCCTGCTGGAAAAATAAGTCGAATTGTCTATCAGACTAAACTGTACGCAATGATTGTAAAAAAGGCCGTAAATGTGACATAAAATAATTTATTTATATAAGCTATATAAAATAAGAAGAATAAAAACTTAGGGATCAACAAAACGACTCCTGTGAACTTGCACCCATAAGTGATTTTCAACTTTATCTATGTGATCAATTCCAAATACAACAAAATAATTGTGTATTTGATATGGTATGAAATCGGTCCAGCCAATTGGAATACATTTTTAGGCCTCATTTCTGTAAAAGCGTCATGCACATAGCACACGCAACGAGCAACACGCCGCGTCTTCGTAAACGAGGCCTCAAAGATTAACAGCACTGTATTTGTTATTAATGCGATAGTTAAACTTCTTCCCTGAGTTTTAATTCCCCTTACTTGACATGAATTTTTATATATACTGTGGTTTAAAATTTTAGTCATTTCATAATTTTCCCGTCCGTAGGCGGTAACAGTGTCGGGGTGTAACACTGTTATCTTATATGATAATAACTGCATTATTTTCATTCGAACTTATACGAAATTCTGGTATTTTTTACACACATTCGGCCACTACCTTATTTCGACCCCGACAAAGTTCCTAGTACTACACTAAAGTCCAATATAGTCTTGTTTCTTTCCACGAGCTAAAACGCATTGTAGTCTATTAGCACGTCACTCGCGATCACGCCACGAATAGCGGCGTTTATACAGGGGCTACCTATAGTAATGGTGTGGGTTCTGTGGCGGCCACTGCTGTACTGGTACTGAGGGTTGCTGGTAACTTTCGCCCCAGCGAGCCCCTTCACCAATGGTGTTCACTGATCCCATAGGAACTGTTGATGACATCGGAGATACTGCTACGTTTGTCGCCATGTTGCCTGCTGCGGAAGATAAAGGATACATTAAAAAATACATTTTTTTTTATTCGTAAACGCCGTCACGACAAAGGAGAAAATCCTGCTTTAGGGCGACGTTTTATAAAAAGAAGAAAGAAACAGCAACGAGTTATAGTGCTTTAGGTGAATATCAACCTTAATCAGCGGTTTTGATCATTCAGGTTATTCTATTATGGAATCAGTATTGTATTGATATAGCTATAGTATAGATAATACTTACCAGGAGGTACATAAGTCGGCGGTGCGGAGTAGGGTGGCGCGGTGGCGTAGTAGGTGGGCGGCGGCACGCTCATGGTGTGAGCTAGTACTGGCACCGACGACACCGGCGGCAACGATGGCGGCGGCACAGGCTGCGGAGGCTAACAGATATCAAAACAACTGTCACAACTTGTCATAACATTAGTCCCTAGATATAAATAAATATAAAAATCATTATCATCATTATCATCAGCCTGATGTCGTCCACTGCCCTCCCGAAAATATAAGAATATGTAATAAGATACATGATATTTTTTTTTAGAGGTTTAACCTACAGTATTGGATATTAAACTATATGCCTTACGAGCCAATGGATTAGTTGATGGCAAGTGCTACAGTAAGTTTTTTTTTTTGAGGAGGAAAAATTATTTGTCTTCTCTAGTATCACGAGAGGACGTGTTACACTCTTATTGACTTATAACCCCTCCTTTCATTCTCCTGTTCCTGGCCGAGGCCGTAGTACCTCGTTGCGCTTGACCCACAGTTATTATTAAAAAAAGATACAAACAAACAAGGAACTTAAACACTAAATGGCCTTTATTCAAGACCTAAAAATGTAGCAAAACTAAAAGAATAAAAACTTACAGGATAATAATTGTAATAGGCGTGTGATTCGGTCTGGTCTTGTATAGGCACGGTGATGAGATTGGTTCTCGCGCGAGGACGTTCGCCAGAAGGGGCGTGGCCATGCCCACCATGACCTCGGGGATCTCCTGCAGTTGGAGGCAGTTGCTGAAAAGTAAACTTCAATTAAAATGATTTGTTTCATATGATTTTTTATTTGATGTGATTACTGTCGTGTGAAAATATATTGAGTAAACTCGAGTGTCATGGAATAGGGTAGGTATTAGCAGATACAATACCGCCAACGTATCTTGGCGAGTCTAAAGTTAGCCGATTAGCTGCGCAGTACACAATTTTGTTCCTAAAAGATCCATTGCGCATACAAACTGCTAACTTCAGACTCGCCAAGATACGGCGGCCGTACTGTAGCTTTCTTAGTTATGCATATTAGTAAACGTAAGCAACTGAGTTTTATTTTACGCCTGACAGAATACTTTACTACTGTTGTGGGTGGGACGAGCCCGTCTTAGACTCGTGGTATCTCTCTGGTCAAGCCGACCTATTCGTGCCGAAACATGGCTCTCCCACACTTGGCTGTGTTTACAAACATGGATTTCTGATATATAATTGATTTGTTTTATGTTACAGCCTTCAAAAAACGTAACACTCACAGTCAAAGGCTTCACAATAGCAACGGTATTTGTTGGAGGTTCAGGCTCTGGTTTGCTTTCTACCGCTCCCGAAGATACGTGCCTATGATTGATATGCGCTTGTAAGTCTCTCTGAAATTAACAAAGAATATTTTAATTGTAACATGTACTAATTTTAAGGTTTAATTTTGTTCGTACTAATACTTCGTACTTGACAACTAGCCACATTCAAAATGCTTTTTTAACTGTCAATATTAACAGTTTCTTATGAATTTTGTACAAGCTATTTAGAGAAAATAATAAGTATAGGTGAAAGATTGCTATTTATGTGTCAAATGCCATACTTATTTGATAGAAATGTCAAATTATTGAAATTGATATATATATATTTTATTACAATAATAAGTTGAAACAATATATTTTTTTAAGATTCAAGTAGTACCTAACTAGTAGAGCTGGTCTAGTGTATCAATGTGTAAACAGAAAACCAAGTATAATTGAAATGAGACACAATATTATTGGTCTAATCATTGACCATATTACTTTCGTACAGTTCAAACACAAGTGTAGTGTAATAGAAATATTATTTTGTTACCTGTGATAAGTAAGTTCTCCTGCAACCTGTGTTGCCATACCGTGTACCGGAATGGGTACACATAAATACTGTTCCTAATCCTGTCTGCTCAACTCGCAAGACCTGTAAATGTAAAAATTATGTTTAAAATCACACAATATTATAAATATGTAGATTAACCAATATTTCTATGCTTCAATCAGACATTGAATGTACTATGCACTATGTAGGAATAGGACACAGTATAGAAAATATGTGTGGAACCTCATCTCAAATACACAAAAATTAAAAAAAGAAATTATATACCTTTTCTCTACATCTAGGGCAGTGTGTATGTTCAGCTCTGGCACATGACAAACAAAACACATGCTTGCATGGAATCTGAAATAATGAAATTTTGAATTACCATTTCGCATCCTCAAATATATTTTGCATAAAATAGTTCTATGACATTTAAGTAAGTTAAATAGATCTTATAAATTATTGTTTTGTGACATAAAATGCTACATTCTATAATAAGCATTATAAAAATGATAAAATAAAAATAAAAAAATATTACTAGTTATAGCTACTATAACATTTATTTTTATCATGAAGTTCTTCTTTTGTAAATTTCTTAGAATCTATGTATTGTCTTTTGGTAAACTTTACACAATTAAAATTTAAAGTAAGTATGCAAAATTACTCACCATTCGTCCATAAATAAGTATAGGTTTAGAGCATATATCACAGCAGTAGATCATGGGGTTGAGGACCTTCTCCCCGATGAGTGTGGCTCGGTGACTCCAGTCAAGCCTGAGCATAGGCTCCGGGGGACCTCGCTGCAGTGTTGTGAATACTGGAGCTTCCAGCTGAGATATATCTGATGGTACTTCCACTGAAAAGTTATGAAGATGATGTTAGATTACATAATTTGAATACATAAATGTATTAGGTGTTAGGTAAAAGTAGCTAGATGTTTAAAACACATAGGATATTCTTACTAAATCATCCATGATGATATACAACTAGATTTTTTGAGAATATTAATAGACTCTGTTACAAAATAAAACAAAATATACCGTGCTATATATTATAAGCAAAAAATATATACATGTATCAGGAGAATAAATACCACATGTAAATAAAAAAAATATATAGTGATTGATTATTAACTTTTATCACTGGAATCTACTGATTTACTAATCAATTGATAGTACTATGTCTTATTTACTTGGGTTCACAATTATGTATCAATATTTAATACAGAGAAGCAACAAAGATACTTGAAGAAGTCTTTTGCCATATCTTAAGTAACATTCAGTGGCACCCCTAGTACAATGTTGAAAAAAAAAAAAACAAACTATAGAGTCACTAATCAGCTTTCATTAATCACTTTATTTATATTACAAACTGACATACTTATAATATAGTTATAACACTTTATAGATTTGGACCTCTTCACTTTATGGTTCAAAGAGAGCCAAACACTATCTTGGTGATAACAGATTATACACAATCATAGCATTGATAAACACTTCATAGATAACTTAAAACAAGTATGTTTTTGTTGCTTCAATTTATGTTTACATTTATATATTGTATAAGTTGGTTGGTATACACAAATGATTTTTAAGATGGAAGACTAATGATACTATGGTGATAGACCATCTGTGAATACTTTATTTATTTTTGAAAAAGTGAGGTTATCTGTCAAGCATATTGAGTAATGAATGCAGTTACTTAGATTCTAATTGGGGAAACATGTAGTTTAACTTACATTGTATTTTTTGTTGTGGTTTAGGTAGTAAGATGCATAGTATGATTTTTTATGATATTTTTCATAGAAAGGGATTACAAAATATAGTTTTAACGTACATTTAGGTGGTTCAGCAGGTTCAGGCTCCTCTTTAGGTTCTTCAACAACGGTTTCTTCTTGTTCTTGAGTGGTTTCTTCCACCGAGCATTCCTCTTCATCACTTGACATTACTTTAGGAACTTTCTTGCCTCGACCCCTACCTCTGCCTCGACCACGGCCTCGGCCCCGGCCACGGCCCCTTCCGCGCGTATTTCTCTTCTCACTGTTCATGTTTATTTAGTAAAAGGAAACTTTTACAATGACTGAATTTCTACAGATCACACCTAACCTCTATCACTTAAGTAATGCGTTTAAAATGAGATGACCGCGTTAGAAAATAACCGTGATGTATAAATACACTTAAGTTTAGTCAACACAATTCATTTTGGAGGGTTTTTATTAGATAAAACATAATTCCATCAAAATCACAGTCGTCACGAACAGCGGTTTCATCGATTAGTATATAGTGATGTCAACAAAGCTGATCGAGTGGAATTGAAAATCGACTAAAGTCAAAAAATATTGTTTTGCATTCTTGTAATATAAATATAACTAAATTGTTATATTTCTTATGTCAAATACAAAACAAAAGAATGTAATTAATCTAAATAAAATAAATACTTAAGTGATTATTACAGATTTTAATTTTAAATTTATATCGATTTTAGATTTTTTGAACTTATGTGTTACCAGATTTTCACTCATCCCTATGATATGGCGCATTCCGAAATACGCTAGTTGTTTCCAAAACTAAAGATTTACTTGAATCAATTTTATAGTTTCTTTACGTCTTTTTTGTACTCAAAGCTTATATTTATATTTTTACCTTTTTTATTTTCTTGTAAGATTTAGTAAAGTATTAAAATATTAAAAACATAAAATTAACTTTTCTCTATAGTGCGTAAAACGGAGTGCAACTAAAAAGAAAAAATAAATGTCAACAAATAAAAACTAATTTTGCCGGGATTATCCTCATGTTAAATAATCAACAAACATCTTCTTATTTCATGAAAATGATTGATGATGGCTGAAAGAAAATCACAACTCCTTTTTGTGAGTATCATTTATACATTTTTGTAATGTTTCCAATAAGAACTATGCCCGATGGCTGCCGTGTGACGTCGTTCGTTTTAGCGGTAATTTCAATTTATTTTGTTGATGTTTACGCGGTGCGCTAATCAATTACCTATTGTTCTAGCAATATCATCACTATTAAGTTTGTTACGTAAATATGTTAGGAATATAAGATAAAAAAGATATTACTTTTCTCAAAGGAGAGCTGGTGGCTACCCTCAAATCAAAATATCGAAAGTCATAAAATGACTACTAGATACATAGGATAATATAAAAAATTTGAAAAGATTCAAAATAAAGTGTCATTTGAATAGAAAAATAAGCTGAAAACGTTATAGTCTACACTTACTGCCATGCCATATATCTAATATGATGTAGATTAATACAATCCTATTCAGTATTTGGTCAATCAATGGATCGGTGACCTTCAAGCAAGACTCAGTATTCTAATAAATACATAAGCCTCAAATATTTTTACGTGTAGGAGAGCAAGTCATGCTTCGGCACGAATGGATGGACTCGACCCGTGTGATACCATTTCCTTTCAGGGAATCGGCGTGCAAGCGTTGTGTTTCGTGGTGTAAATGAGGTTATCGGAGGATATCTTGCCGCCCCATTTCCAAATCCGAATCCTTTAAAAGGCCGGCTATGTACTGAGCTGAGAAGTACTTCTCAACTCCTCTGGCTTTGCGGGAGTCTGTGGTCGGCGTCGATTATTCCCCATGCAAGTGATGGTCTACTCATTTGTCGTTCTAAGTATACTGATAAAGCAAAGAATCGACGTTTTCATAGAATTACTTAAACTTAAAAAACTTTTAATACCTTCTCGAGTCTCAACTTGGTGACCATGGTGTCCGTTGCACTTGGTGAACCAACAAATAACCAGTTCTAGAAACTACATAATTATTCAAAAACGTTTAATATTTTTATAAAAACTTATTGGGTGCCGATTTGCCGATAGAGAGTTCTACTAACTTGTCAAATCGCTTACCATTCATTATGTAAGAACAAGAAACTATTAAGTCAACGGAAAATTGGCAGGCGGGATTTTTTTAACCCACATCGACTTCCTGCAGTTACTTCCAATTTTAGCCAACGCCACAGTATGAGTACTACATATTAATTGTTTGATTAGCACCTGTAATTACGTAATTAGTTTATTTACCCCAAAGATTTCGCAAATGCGATTTTCGCAACGGTGCATCGACGTGCGTGTTTTGCGTTCGTATGAAGTGGACACGGTGTCATAACTCACTGATCATATTGCAGTGTCTTTTTACATATTCGTTGCAGTATTTATTTTGGAGCGATCATATGGAAGTGTAAACGCTGTTAATGTTTCGATTGTTAATACGTTTATCGCTTTGGAAAGTATAGATACGCGTTGATATAAATATTTTTGTAAATGCAATGTATCAGTTTAGATTGCATTGGTATCATTTAATGAGGTTGTCCCAAAAAGGTCTGTTTGATTTTATGTAAGATACGAAAAACCTAATACCCTACGGACCCTACCCTTTTGCCGGGGTTGCGGGGTACGCGCAATGAGACACCGCGACCTCGGCCCAGAGCAGGAGAAGGAACAGGGGGGTTTTTAGTCAGTACCGAAAAGTCTGACACTCCCTCCCGCCCGGCCCTGGGTGGGAGAAGACATTTGATGATTTTCCCCTCACAAAAAAACCCTTACCCTTTTAGTAGAAGTTTAAGCTTAGCGCCATCTTCAGAGCCTATATTGCCTAGCTGTTATAATGTTCTGGAGCTAATTATTTACATATTTATAAACTCGTAATTGCATTATACATTCTCCGTCACGCTCTTTCCCTTTACTGGGTAATCAGAATTCGAGGCGCTGGTATCGATAACGTGTGGTATGTTGGTACCGCTTCAAGCCTTGTAAGGGACACCATGTTTGGTTTAAAAATCGCAACAGTTTGATGCATAATTATAAACTGGTTGTTTGTTTCTTTACTACGCTACGAACACCATCGCAACCAGTTTTGGTGATCGTTGTTCAAATATTTAGTTCTTGGCAACTTTATATTCACTTTGCAAAGAGGCCTTTGTTTTGACTCATTCAGATTCACTATCTACTATTTAGTGGTTCTGGTTACCCTTATCACATAAAGTAAACCGAGAGATTATCAAAATTGTGATATTTTTTCTACATGAAAAGGGTTTGCTGTGCTTGAAACATTATTTATTTATTTATGCTTTATTTTGTACATTCTTTGTACACAATGAAATGAAGTTGGTACAAAAGGCGGACTTAATGCCATATGGCATTTCCTACCAGTCAACCAAAGTTAAAGTTGGGTCAAGTTGAAAATCTGCGATAAATAGGTACGGCAAATTATTCTTCTTCCATTACCAAATCTATTTGACTTATGAGCGACTAGCTAGTCTCGCGCGGTTTCACCCACTGCTTGGTTCCATTTAATCGTAGCGTGATGTTTTATAGCTTATAGCACTCAGGAACATTATACCAGTGAAATAATTTTGAGAAACCGACCAGCGATTCCAAAGATTACCCCCTACATACAAACTTACAAATTTTACCTCTTTGTTATATTAGTATAGATTGATTACGAAATAGCCTCATAACGTGGTGCCTATTCGCTGAAGCAGGCGGCATGTCTTGAGATATCCTAATCTAAAAAAAGATCATTGATAAAAATGTATAAAATGAGTCACAGGTGTGAGCAATGCAATTTGTTAAGCTTCAAAAGTAGGGCAATAAAAAGTATTCGTGATTTTAAGTGTATGAGTAATGTGGTTACATTAGTATAGCTAGGTAATTCTAGCATACTTGCTAGACTGACTCGGTTTTACATAGCCACGTTATTTCTATTGGGTTTTTTTATACACTAAATAACTGTTTGTAACTGATAACAGTTTGGTGATAAAATGGTAACCTTTATTACGGGTATTTTTATTAGATAGCCTCCGATTACCTAACATGGCTTAATGAGCGAGGACTAGATTAAGTGCTTACCTAAACCAAGTAAGCTATTGTGATGCTAATGCAATATTTCAAGAAATGTAAAATTATAAATGGTTTTCTAGTGGGTAACTGTCATTTACTCTAGTGCTGATTCATATTTTGTATTCAATGCTTCATATTTTGTCGTATCCATAAAATTATCTACTTTCATAACATTCCCTTTGTTAAAGATATTGCTTTTTTCATCAATCTATGGAACTATTTTAGCATGTTGAAAGATTTCAAGTCTTTTGAAGTGGCTTTTTTGTGATGTAACTAATAGCATAACGCATTACCTACCACTATGGCCTCCACCTATGTGTGTTTGATGTTTAATTCTGAGTTTAGTCGATTTTTGATAAATACATGAAATTAAATATTTTTACTTTTAACGGTTAGATCTTGCACTTTCATGTTACAATCTAATATAATATAATAATAAACATACGAATAAACGTAATGCTTGAATCCTACATCTTGGTAAATATTAATGCTACATTCGGCTCTCTTGTTGTATTGTGATTAGGTGTTTATCCAGTGAGGGTACTTCGAAATTCATGAGTTCATTGTCGTTGCTCCTTACATCTTGAGGCCCATGAATATGATGTTCTGCGTTGTATTTCGTTTTTTATCTACTTTAGCACTCATATAACCTTGTAGTAAAATATGCTCTTCTATGATATGGGCTGTTATGTGAGTCATATTTTAGCAGCTTCGCGTGTTTCTTTATGCTATACAGACATCTATACAACCTCATAGTTATCAGTCACTGGCCGCATTTTTTCCTTTGGGGAGTTTAACTTGATACTTATCCTGTAATCATTTAATCAAAACGATAATCATTCGATTAATATTCTTTTAAAGTGTAATTATTACACTTGCCAGATTATTATCTTATTATGTTTCTGGGGAGTATACCTATTGGAAAAAATGATATACTTAATGATAATCGAGTTTTACTAAATACCTAGGTAGTCAACATTATTTTTTATATTGAAGTACCTACATTGGTTTATTCGCCGGAAATGGTGTACGTACGCATGTATTCAAACAAGCCTTTTGTTATTAGTGTTTGTGTATTCAATACACGGTATATTAAAAGCTCTAGCCTTGAATCTTACTTCTATATTCGTCGTCGCACGAGCTTTGCTTGTTGTGGTAGGGGCCCGTTACGTATCGTCTATTAGTGTTTTCTGTTTGTGTGTGTTTGTTTGCATCGTTGTGTGCTACGCAGACATTTTAATAGCGAATGTAAAAACACTATGCGACAATGTTGATCGTTTGCAAGAAATAACAATAAAGAAAAGTAAATCTATGCTCACAATTTGTATCTATATCACTGTCCCTCAACAGATTCATAGTTCCCGATAACACTTATGACAATTTTATTGCTATAGT